GGGTGTCTTGTTTTGAGTCCAATCCAAATGATCGTGGCTTTGTTTGTTGTATTGGCATCCCACTACAGATTACGGATTATGACTCTTGGATTGGGCAGCCCCTGGAGCAACGCAGATCACCAGCGAAAGCACGGGGGGTTCTTTATCGGAGGGTGTCAACATGGAGCGTTGGGACGTGCAAAGGATGCGTGTTTGCTTGCTTGGGGCAGATTCGTTTGGAATTGCAATGGTGTGACAGGTTGTCAGAGAGTGAGAGCGCCAAAGCCAGGGTACTCAAAGTTGAATTCATGGCAACCGCGGTAAAGACGGTGGTCTTTGGCGTTACCTTTACCCCTTCCACTTGGAAAGCAGGCAGGCTCAACTGACCTCCAGTACATGATTGGCTAATGAGCCCCTTCCACAGAGACTCCCAGTGCTGGATGGAAGTGTGATTCCGTGCCTTTGTTTCTTCTTTGCTCTTCCTTCGCACCTTGAATTTTGTTGGGTTTCCCTTGGGTTTAACGACGTTGTGCCGTTTTGGTTTCCTGGAGGTTTCTAAGTCGGTTTGGTTTCCCCGCCGGCTCCGGCTTGAAGGGCGGGTTTCGGTTTGTGTGGGGAAACGCGCCATGCGCGCGGTTCTGGCGGCCGCCGCTTGGTGGATCCCGGCGTCAGCTTGGCGAGCAGCCCGGCAAGGCTATTCAGTTTGCCTGAAAATTATTGTGGGCAAGCTGTGAGTCATTCACCTTTTGGCGGGTTTCCCAAGCGATCGCCCCATGTAAAAAGAACCTGTTTATTTGTATGCCCCATGCGAGTCAACCTGCTTATTTGTATGCCCCACAACGTGAGTCGACCTGTTTATTTTTGTATGTTCGACTTTTGAAGTTTGGAGGGATCATATTTGACATATTCCTCCAACATTGAACAAGGGGTTCATTCCCAGCCTGGGGCCATTCCCTACCTATCGCACCAGAGCCCTTCCGGAGCCCTTCGAAGCACTTCCAGTCCACATAGCACTCGATGGGAACCTAGCGGATGGGTCTGGTATATAGAGACACAGACTAGGTCTGACTAGGTTTCCCAGTGCCCTGTTGCCCCTTCTGTGGTTGGGAGGGTTCCCCTACTAAAATAGACTACAGAAAAAAAAGAGTTGGTAGCCTTATTCTAACTTCTCTACTGGAGGAGCAGAGGTCTCACAGCCAAGCCACGTTCAAGAGGCCGCATGCAACCGCTCCGTTGGAAGCGATTCGCTCGAACTTTTAGCCATTGGCCGGCGGAAAATGGAGGAAGAGCATAGGTCCTTTTTAGGTTAGCTTGACTAGAAATAGGTGGCACTGGTTTAGGTGGGTGTTATGCCCCATTTTCCAGGGCCATCTACTTTTCCAAAAGGCCTATGAGGAAGAAGAGTTCGACTTCCACCCACACCTTCCAAAAAAAATGGATGTCCTCATAGGTGTCCTTTTTGGTTGTGTTGGTTTACCTGGTGGTTTGCCTGGTCTACCAGGGAAACCCATCTATTTGCCCTAAAAGGACACCTGTGGATGTCGCCCCCAAAAAAAACGACTTCCAAAAAACAGTCGACTTCCAGTTGTTTGTTTCTTTTTTTTCCTTTCGGCTGGTACACCCACACCTTTCCCCAACAAAAGGATGGTCCCGTTGCCGAGGACTTCAACGTGTTGGACTTCGGCGCGGTGGGCGATGGGCAGACCTTTGACACCGCAGCCATCCGCTCCGCGGCAGCGGAGCTGAAGCGCGCCAAGGGCGGCAGGCTGCTGTTCCCGGCTGGCCGCTCGGCCAAGTGGCCATGGGGTGCATAACCTATTTCTCCATTTTGGGGCATAAGATATGGCGATCCCATTTTGGCGTGGAGCATCCATTTGCCACCTATTCTGATGTTCGCCAGGGGTACAGGGTTTTGACCCACAGCCAAGTGTGAACATGTACGGGTCAGGGACCCTCCAAATGCTTTGGTTTAAGCAGTTGGTCCACTTTTTGAGCGGGCTTTGTTTTGAAGGATTTGTGGTGTGTTCGTACCCTCTTGTCAACAATCATGGAAGTGGACTGGGGAAATGTTTAAGCTGATGGTAGTCTTCCAAAACCCTCCAGTGCACTTCCATGAGATGTCTCAGGGGTGGTAGGTTTTCGTCCAGATTTTGTTGGAAGAGCTGGTCCTTAGTGTCAAGGATGCGCGTTGGCGAGGAGTAATGTCTTGTTGGGAACTGTCAAGTTTTTTTCAGTTTTTCCCCCGTGTTCCAAGGTACTCCCTGTGCAAATTCACCTGGAGATCCCCTGATTCGTATTCGTGGAAGTTTTATGGAAGGAGATTGTTTTGCGTTTCCAAGGCCATAGGTTCCTCACCGGCGCCTTCAACATCTCCTCTAATTGTCAGCTGGTGGTGGAGGCCAACGCCAGCATCTTGGCCTCGCAGCGCTCAGCAGACTGGCCCCTGATCCGACCCTTGGAATGGTACGGCGGGGGCAGCGACCGCCGGGACGGCAGCCCCATGTATCAGGCAGGCGGGCTTGGCCCCATAGATCTGCTTGCCCGGCTGCCTTACGTTCCTCTGTGGGGCTTGTGTCATTGAAAGAGGTCGACTTAAGCATCTGGAGTTGGGCGGTTTCTGTTTGAAAGAGGTCGACCTAAGCATTTGGAGTTAGGCAATCTTGAGTTTTTTTCTTGTACCCAGGGGGGTCCGAAGGGGTTTCATCTAAAAAAATCCGGTGGCTTCCCCAGGTGATGGTCGCTAAGTGTCGCTGGTTTTTTCGCCCTAGGCGCTGATCCACAGCGACTCAGCGGACAATCTGACTTTGGAGGGGGAGGGTACCATCGACGGCCAGGGAGATGCTCGGCCAAGAAAAATCTCAGATCCCAAGTTCCATGTGTTTTTTTTTTTTTTTTTTTTTTTTGTTTTTTTTTTTTATTTTTTTTTTTTTTATTTTTTTTAAACTTTCCCCAGTTGGTTTTAAAGGGAACCTATCCCCTGTCTGTTTGTTTTCCCTTGGCTTGCAAGGGAACCTATCACATTCGTTTTTTGTTCCCTCTTTTTTTTATGAAGCCCCAGGGGGCTGAAGCAAATGGAAGAGTGTCTGGTCTGTACACCCCCGCCAGTATGGCACCTGACAGAGCCCTCAAAGAGTTGTACAGATGCTATGTTTGTGGAAAGAAGGTTCTACGTTTGGCAGGACCATTTTAGTGGTCAGCAACACTTTTTCATCTATTTGCTTGGGGGTCCTGCATATCCCCTCCAGTCAGCAACCAACAGGCGTAGTACCTAAGTCCCCAGTAAAGTGACCCTTTCGAGGTGTAGACTCGCAGAGGGGTCCCTTTCTTTCCTCACGGCTGGAAAGAAACCAATTTTTGTGTGCAAGAGGCTTTGAGCGGAAGGCATCCTCTTTTTTAGTTTGTCCTTTGCTCCTTGCTCGATCTCATTTTGTCGCGCTTCGCATTTCCACGCACATCGATGCTTGGCCCCGGCCTCTTTTTGGTTTGTCAAAGCTACACCATCTAAAACTTGGCCCGCCCGCTTGGATGGTCTCACAATCCGTTGACATAAGCAAGATTTGCCTTTGGAATCGGGGCTCCATGTTCATTTCGCTCTCCGTAGCTCCAGACAATTTTTGTTCGTCGCCATGCTTAGTTCGATCAATTCGACTCGAGTCGTGCACCTCAAGGGGCCCTATGGGGAGCGATGGGGAGGGGGGCCCAGCTATGAAACCTGAAAGAAGAGCCCTGTTCGGGGCGTAGCAATGGCTTTTGCCAAAGCGCTTTTTCCTGAGCCCCGCAATAGCCCCCGGAGGTCCGTGAAAGTCGATTGAGGGGGTAAGTTCCCCAAGCCACGAGAGATTAGGTTTGATTTGACCATTGCCATGCCCTGCAAAACCCCGAAGCAAATGGTTTTCCAAATTGCCAAGGTCCACCCCGAAGAGGCCCTCAAGTGCAGGGTTCCCCATATGTCCAGTGTGAAACATCACCCCGGCAAAAGGAATTGGACACCACAAGGTCATGCTTAAAGCCACCTCATCTCGCCGGACCCCGCGTGAGACGAACGGCCCGATGCTGAAACCCGCCAAAAGGCGAAATATAGGTCTGGTCTGTTTGGCGCCTTTTTTTGGTTGGATGGTTTTCACTTGGCAAATCGGTGGCGCCTTGTTTTGGTTGGATGGTTTTCACTTGGCAAATCGGTGGCGCCTTTGTTTGTTGGATGGTTTTAACTTGGCAATTGTTTTTTGTAGTTGGATGGTTTTCACTTGGCAAACTGGCCAACCAAAGGACCCCGGCCGTTGCCACTTTGGGGGGGGTGTTCTTCATGAGAGAACAACATAGGGAACCGCACGGAGAGTTTGAGGAGCCTTGGTGGGACTGCTGGAGGCACTCCAAAGGCAAAGCGCCACCTTGCTCGGGCTACTCGAGGCGAGGAATCGAGTGAGCTCCAAATCCCGCGGCGAAACGGAGAACGGGGGCCTGCGATCTTTGTGTTTCTCAAAAAGAACGGAGTCCTGCAGGTTGTTGCCTCTTGGTTTCCCTGCAAAACAACAAAACGGGTCTCCTATTCTGAGAAACTACCCATGTGTTTGTTCGTGTTTGTGTTTGATTTGGGGGACCGCTTTTGGGGCGGGTCTGAAGGGAAACCAAACGGAACACCGAAATCCATTTTGGGGGTACCCCTACTTTCCTCCAGACAAAACGCAAGTCGAGCTTTCATGTCACTTCTTGCAAGGGGTCACTTTGACCAACCGTGTGAGCAACAAGGATGTCCGCCATGCTAGAATGCTAGAACGAGTCGAAAGAAAGAGCTAGCAACAGCTGGTTTCGTATTGGTTGCTTCCCCGCCATGGAACGGGCCATTTGAGCCTGGGTAGATGAAGGGTAGTAAAGGACATTGCCAGCTGAAATTGCCCGGAAGTGGGTGCGGCCGTTTTTTCTCCCTATCGCGGCTTTGGGTAGCACGCCTTGATACCAGGAAGACTCATTTTGACTTGTCACAATGAGCTCCGCATTCCCTGCGCATCAGGCCTCACCTCATCATGCTGGTGCGCGCGCGGGGCGTGACGATGCGGGGACTCCGCGTACGCAGGAGCCCGGCATGCACAAGGGAGGTTGCGGTGCTACTCAGTTGCCCAAAGCCGACCTTTTAACCTTTTGGTTTTCCAATTTTGGTCTATCTTTAGTAAAGGCCCCAAAAGGTTAACCTTTTATTCCTGGGTCCTTTGGGCGGCTGAGGCTATAGTCAAAAAGAAACTACAAAAGGCCAACTGCCTGGAACCCCAATCTGCCCTGAGATATGACCGCAGAAGTATTGGACAGTCCAGGTGACGCCATAGCAAGGCGTGGTCGAAAAAAGCTGGGCATGGTCAACAAAGCCGTTGGTTTCTGGTGAGGTGGTGATCACCTGGCGAGGATGAGGCAACCAGATACTCAACCACTATCAGTTTCTGTCGAGGAATCCATTTCGGTTGGCTCTGAAGAGGGGATGTAAAGCAAAGTAGGTTCCCCAATTTTTGGTATTCCTCACCAGTGAGGCTCCCGGCGGTGTTTCTTTCCGTTTGCTTTCTCTTTTAAATCATCGAAAGGGTGTTCTGGCATTTGGAGGGACACCTACGTGGCCTGGGAGAAGGTACGTGATTTTGCGCTGCCTTCGCAGGGGGTCGGCATCCTCAACTTACGTCGAGATGGCAGTTGCTTGGTAGGTTCTTTTTCAGTCGGGACAGGCCGAAACAGTTCAAACTGTTACTGGGATCGTCAACACTTGTCCAGGATCGAGTTCCCAATTCGCGTTTTCGGTGCCAGATCAAATGTTCACCTGTGAGTCCTGATCAGGTCCCTTTCCATCACAGTGGGTTTGATTTGGATTCCCATGAACACCATGGATTCGCGTGGATTTGGTCCAGGGTAGTGCAGAAAAGAAAGTGATCCACATACCAGTTCAGTTCGGCTGTCTCATTGCTCGGAGCCTCGAATAAGTTGGTCTGGTCTTTGGTTTGGGGACTGTGAAAGGGTCAAAAGTGAGCAACCCTGTTTAGATGAATTCGTTGCAAGTTCCATTTCATCGTTTTGAGGAACCTCCCAAACCGTTGGAACTGGCCAGTCAGCTGAGGGTCGAAGGGAAGTTGTCACAGATGGACTCACGCAGTTGAAGGGAATATATATTTTTTGTGTAGAATGTAAGCGGCTCGGAAAACGGGTTGGTGGCTTTTTGTTACCGGTGCCATCTACTTTCCCCCAACTGCACTGTATCACAGATTTTGGGACCCTGCTACAGCCATGGCCCCGTAGCGCGTTGCAAAGAACAGAGTTGAATCCTACTGTGGATGGACAAAGTCCAGCCGGGATGGATGACCCCCCTAAATTGTGGTAAACCAACACAACTTTGGTGCACGTTGCTTGATGTCAGGACTTTAACTTTTTGCCAACTAAACTTTTAGTAGGGGAGCAGAAAGCAACCGAGAAAAATCGGACCGACCCCCAATTCCGACCTTTTTTCGGCCAATCCAAGTGGTCCCCTAGGAGCCCTTGCTGGACTTTGCATTTCGCCTGGGTCACCGATCTGGTGGTCACTGGTGTGCAGGCGGGGGCTCGGAAGGCCTTTTTGCGCAACTGGGGATGGGGGGGAATACTTCCAACTAGCGGCTGCTTTGTTTGTTCTCTTCAGCATTGCTCAGTTCCAGAGAGAGAGAGAGAGAGAGAGAGAGAGAGAACAAAAACAACAACTGAGAATGCCTCAACTCCACAACTTCAGGGGCAAACTGCTAGTTGCATGGCAGGGTATAACTTCAGCCCTGAGGTCTGGAACCCGTCAGACTCCCCCAACACGGACGGCATTGATCTGGACTGCACCCAGAATGCCCTGGTGGAGAGCTCCACCTTTGACGTGGGGGACGATGCCTTGTGCGTGAAGTCTGGCGTGGATTTCCTGGGCCGCAACTTCGGGCGGCCGTCCAGAAATATCGCCCCATGGCATGCAGGGCCACTAGGTCCCCAGTAGTGCCCTTTTACCCTTCTTTGGGGAAGGGTTCCCCTACTAAAATAGACTACAGCAAAAAGGGTAGCCTTATTCTAACCTCTCAAATCTGGAGGACCTAGGCCACATTGACGTGTCCAACAAATAAATCGGCAGACCCCCAAAGTGGCTACACCTGGCTTTGTTATGCGGGTTTGACCAACCCTAACAAGGGTGCCCTCAAAAACACGTGCCCATGGTTCCCGGTCGACGATTGTTCTGATTGACCGACGCTGGCGAAGCAGCCCAAAGATTTGTTCAATGGCAACCATGATAAAAGTGTCTTATGCTACTTGCGATGCTCTCAATTGCCGCTGTCAGCACGCATTTTGTGCTGGCGAGCTAAGTTTTATGACTTCTCGCTGGCCCATTTCCCGAAAACAGGGATCCAACACCCTGGTTGGCCATTTGTGTGAAGCCTTTTACTCCTCGAGTTGGGGATAGCATCTTGGGTAGCCGTCTTGCGATTCTTTTTTTTGCGTCCCTACTTGTAGACATTAAACAACATGGTTGAACACCAGACAAGCAAAATCTGGAAGACTTAGATTACCATGAGGAAACTTTAGCATCCATCGTATCGTGGAGTCCTTTCTGGAATCCGTTTGGACATCCATTTGGACTCCGCATAGAAGTACTTTTGGGTGGTGTGCCCCAACAATTGTACTTTTCCTTCTGATTTCTGTAGAAGCCAACCTTGAAAGGGTACCCTCAACAAAACACAAACGCCCATAACCCTTTTCACCCTGTTTAGGGAAAGCATTGTTCCACTGGTTTACACTGGTTTAGACTGGCTTTACAAGCCATTTACCCCATCAAAAGGTCACATTTGGACCTCGCTGAAACGGATTTCCCCCGTCCGCTTGGCCCAGTCAGCTGTCAGGTCTTCCGAGATGTGGAGGTCGGCCACGGGCACGGGATTACGGTGGGCAGTGAGATGTCGGCAGGCCATCGCGAATCGATTTCGTTGGATTTTCGCGGCTCCAGCGGTGGATGGCTGCGAAACCCATGTCGCACCTAAGAAACCCTGGTTGAAATCAGAACGTTTGTTGGTATTTTCCGGGGAATGCACCATCTAAGAAACCATGGACACCATTGTTTGTTGGTATTTTCAGGGAGTCTTAGGTGCAGGATGTCCATATAATTTCTCACTTGTCCAAAGCGAATCGACCGGATATGACTTTTTTGTGTTTTCCATTTTCTGCAAACCATTTTTAATAATGGCCCCAAGAGGTTATCGCGTTTTATGTCCAGTCCCTAATGGGCAACAGGGATTCAGGTACATAGGTCTCATAAAATTGTTTGGAGGGACCTTGATGGCAACGGTGTCCTTTTGACGAACTACAAGCAGAAGAGGCTCTCCGCAACACCTACCCTAGGTCCCCCAGTAGTGCCCTTTTCTCCTTTTTTGGGGAGGGCTACTGGAGGCCCTGGCGTTTGCAGAAAAAGCTCCTCAGGGAGTTGTTTTTTGGGGTTCCCTATATGTTCCCTTTCGAGGCTGGGTTGAACATCAGCTTTTCGTCCAGTCCAAGGGGAGCTTCCCTTGATACAGATCATGACTTGTTTTGGGGAAGTACGGGGATCTTTCAGCCATGGAAATTTGGGTACCTGGTTTTGGCCAGGCCATTTTCATACAGCAGGCTTGATCGTGCTTCTCTGGATGTCCCCTTTTTTTTAATCACGGGTGGAGATCCTTCAGGTAACCCTAGAAATCAAACAAGCAGTGCCGCAAAGCCCCGCAGTTCTGCTACCTGACTTTCGTTGCGGGGAAGTCTATCTAGACCTTTCCAACTGTGTTGGTAGAACCTCAATGGGCGCTCAAATAGCACTTGAAAACATGACCATGCGCGGGAATTGGTCGCTTTTGGTCTTCACTTTAAATACCAGAGACCACAATTCCACTGTGCCACGGTTGGCATGTCGCCTTTCTCACGGATGGACACGGGAGTGTCCCAACATGAATCCCCTTATTGTTTTTGCAAGGGGGGACCAAACGGAAACACTAGAACAAAATAGGAGACCTTTCGAGAAATACCCAAGATTGTGGGCATGGCCAATGTCAAAGTCTTGACTTCAAAGCGGAGGTTTCGTCTTGATGTTGGCACCAACCCCTCATTCCGTGGCCCGGCTTTCGTTTCGCGTTCAGCATGACCTTTCACCTTTTGCAAATCGACAAACCTTGTTCAGCCAAACCTAAGCAGCAAGAGGCGTCTCACTTTGCTTCAAGACCAACCCTGTTCTTCTGACTTTAGAAAGCAATTCAGAATCAACCCTTGATGCTTATGCGCGATGGATCACGTGGTTCCTTCGTATTGAATGTCCCACTATGTATTCTGGATTATGACGAAGGATCCCCTCAGGTGGTCGTGGCTGCCCGCATATTGAATCTCTACGGATAGATTCTGATTAGGGATCTCCCCCATTTGGAGTCCAGGCAGGTTTTTGTCATACCCCGAAAGTTGGGACAGGCCACGTTGCTCAGAGTTTGTCATGCAAGTCCTACCCAATTAGTCGTGGGGCAGGGAGAATCCCTGTGGATCATATCCAGTAATCGGTTGCTCACAAGGGCGTGCTTTTCCTAAGGAGCCCTTTGGCAACTTCTGGCCTGTCACCCATGTCAATGACCACGTGACCATGGACAAAGCTCACTTTTTGCAAAGCTCGCTGTTTGTCACCAACCGATTGAGTGGTGATCCGGTGGCCACTCTCAATTTCGGGATTCGAGTCTCATTTTCGGGATTTACTCGCGTCTTCTCCAGCAGCTTCTCCGGATCACGTCTCAACCGATCGGATGGAAATCCTTGCAGGCATTTTCAACGTGACCTTCCAGAACATCTCCATGCGCGCTACGGGGATAGGCCCCCGGGTCAAGACGCAGCGAGGTCGCGGGGGAGTCATCGATGGCATACTGTTCAAGGACATCAAAGCAGCGCAGATGGGCGAGATGCTTCAGATGACCATGGAGTACAGCGGCGACTTGCCGAAGACCAATGTGTCTGCGACGCCTGCGATCCGCAACGTGGTCTTTGACAACGTCGTCTTCAGCGGCGGAAGAAGTGCTGGTCGCTTCGTGGGACTGCCAGAAGCGCCTTTGGAGGGTGTTGTTCTACGTAACGTGGTCATCCCCAGCAATGCAAGCTACGGTGAGTGCCATGATGTCGTGAGCTCTCACTGTGAAGGCACAAGTCTTTGCCCTCCATGTTTCAAGGCGTCGCTCTTGGCGCTGGTCTGACCTGGCGCTTTACAAAACAAGCGCGGGATTTCAACAGATCGGCCAAAGAAAGAGGCGCGCAGAAGCGGGGACTTGCCGGCTCCGTCAGGGGCGCGATGACCATTCATGCTGCTTGAGATGTCCGCAGAAAGGTTTGGTTGAAGCATGTTGAAGCTAGACGGGTTTAGCAGTGCCGTCGATTTGTTTCCAACACGACAGGATGACGGCCCAAGGGGTATTTTTCGTGACTGCATTGCTTTCGCGAAGCTTCTGCCTGGACCCTCAAACTGCCCTTACAAAAGGCGGGTGTGGGTATGGGTCAATTTAAACCACCAGGCGACCGCGGGGTTTTGTCGTTGGTTCCATTTACCAAGGTTCCATTTTGGGTACTCATTTTGGATCCACTGCCATATTGCTACGTGGGTGGCTGCAGGTTGTACAAAGGCTTGGGCGCCGTTCTCAGGTGGATCATGGTACCACGTGGACAGCTGGCAGCCCAGTCTCCTTCGAAGCACTAGGGTTTCGGAGCGCAATGATCAACCTCCAGGGGCAAATCGCTACGTAGTTAGTCCTTGTGAATTCCTGCCAAATGAGCAACACGCCTGCTATGTCAAGTTATCTTTTTTGTTTTGTGTTTTGTGTTATTCTTTCCTTTTTCCGAAGCAACATGTATTTCTTCCCTTGACGGGATGGCCATGCAGGGTGCGGGCACCTGAAAAAAACCAAAGCCATGGATGATAAGCGAATAGTGTGCGGCGTGTAATTGTTTCGGGCCCTTTTTTTAACCGGCGTTTTTGGAAAAGGAGGGTTCCGTTGCACCAATCATGTTGGAGCGGACGCAAGCGCTCGGTCTGACGGCGACATAGCTAAAAGGTGGGCTGCAGCAGCATTAACAACGAGTTCTCCGGCGACGTAACTATGCGGGGCGCTCAGATCTTACGTTGCTGGGACCTTTCGGTGTGTTTTTTCGCGGACCCCCCCCCTCTCCCCCTCCTCCCCCCCAAAAAGTGGTTTTAACCTCTCGGTTTCCCGTGAAAGCAACAGAACAACTCCAAAGGTCTGGGGTCATGATTTTGATTGTTCCTGGGGGTGTTCAAAGTCACATGGGGTGGTTGCCCTTTGACCCACCACTTCGCGCTCGGTGACTTTGGTAAAAGAATGAGGCCAGATTGGGGGTGCTACCTCTCCCCCCCCCCCAAACAGGTGGCCTTCCTTGGCCTTCCTTGGCCCATTTTCCAAACTCGCAGGAGATGCGGCGGCGGCACCATCCGTGGGGCTCTCGGCTGGAACCGGCTGGAATCCACGCGACGGGGAAAGGGGGGGGTTCGGCGTTGCGCGTGCCAGGTCCTGGCAGGTGTGGGAAATTTGCCTGGATAGGAGCTTTTCATGGTGGCCTAAGCATGGTTGGGAAACATTTTACGTTTTTGCTTGTTGTGGTTTAGTGGGAAATCCCCACTCAACTGCTAAAATTTGAATTTGTTGCTCCCCTTCCAACGTCAATGAAGAACAAGAGGGGGGGCTTGTTTTTGAGATTGGTTTGAGCACATTTTGGGCCATTTTCATAAAGTGCTCTACGGTTGTCAAGAGCCCGGGGTTCGTTCAGGCGCTCAAATGGAGGATCCCCATTCAACAGTTAATATTTCAATTGCATATGGGGGTTTTCCAAAACCAGCCCCCTTTTTCGGGGATGGTTTCAAAGGGAAGTCGAAGGGAGATCAAAGAGCCACATTTACAAACCACGATTCCTGTGGATGGACAACGCCTTGCACCACTTAATACTTAAGTGGTTGATCATCTTGTATGGTTTCATTCATCCCAACTTGTCATCCGCATCCATGCGAAAACTCGGGACCCCTTGGGTTCTGGGGATGCCATGTTAGGAATCGGAACCTTCAAAATGGTTGGTGTCCTTTGGTTGCCCTTTAACTCCAAACACACACCACTGTATAGTTCACCTTGGTTTAAAGGGACACAAAAAGGAACACCGATATCCATTTGTGGGGGTCCCCCCATTTTGCCACATATTGACATGTACATATATAGACATATATGTATATATAAATATAAACATATGCACCTTTTTATCAAATCTCTCTATATATATATATATATGCATATATATACACGTATATACATGTATTGTATGATATATTTTCACATAACATATATATATATATATATACACCCTCCACAACATAGTGGGGTTGTGGCTGATCCCATTTTCCAGCTGCGCGGCGACTCTCTCGCTAGGCGCAGACACCTCTGCCTGCGTCCAGATGGAAGTGGGCTGCCTGCCAACAGGCCCCTTGGCTCAGAAAAAAGAAGAACGACGGGAGGCTTTCTTGGGATTTGGGGTAGGGGGTAGTGGGTAAGGGGGTCTGGAAATCTCCATTTCTGGAAACCCATGGTCAGGGGATGGGGGGCTTGTCACAACGTTTTTGTTAGTTAGCGACACAGGAAAATATGTGTTATAATTTGTGATGGGACTGAAGCAAATGGAAGATGATGGGTTCCCTGGTGGTTGCCTTTAAAACCAGCCAACAGGGGGGTTCGAGAAACCCCTCAACGGGAGCCCAACTCTTGTGAGGGCCGTGCGCCACAGCGTGTTTGTGGGAGGGACTTGTTCGCCTTCGTTTTGCTCTTCGGATTAATCATGAGACCCTCAAAGGGGAACTCAGGTAGCCTCCAGGCGTTAGGCTGCAAGGAAGTGTTTTTCTGTTTTATTTATTTTAAGTATGTGTTTTAAAAGAACAACAAAAACAAAAACCTAAGAACACAATTCCAGGAAAAACATGGTTCAACCTGGCCCCCCAAAAGTACAATCCAAAGGTACGCTTGGAGTTTGGATGAAAAAGGCTGTGTCTTGTTTTGGGTATCCCCCAAAATGGTTGGTTTCTTTTTTGGTTCGCTTTTTGGTTCGCCGTTGAAACCAACAAGGGTCCCCTCCAAAGAAGACCGCATGGGCGCGCGGGCCCTCTTTTGAATAAGACCCCGCATGCCTTTCCCAAGCATCTTTCGGGGTTGTCCAAACAACGATCGTAAGGTCAATCCCTCAGCTTGGGAAAACATAGCTTAGCTCTTCTTTGGCTTCTTTTCAGACACCCAGGGATCAAGTGTCCACCCCGGATTCGGCCTTGGCACAACCAGGACTCCCCAAAAACCGGTCGGGGCCCCTGGTTTTAAAGGGAATCGGGGCCCCCTACTCCAAATGCCCTCGTTTTTCAGGGTGTCATGTCGAGCCTCTACTATAAAAGGAGGTATGTACCATGGGAAAACCCGGGTTTTTCCCAAAAAATACCCCGGAAAAAGCGGGTATTTTGAGGTAGGGGGTATCGCTACTGGCCATATTTGGGTGTGGCTCATTTTTTAAGAGCTGGGGCAAACCGCGGGTTTTAGTCTTTGGTTCCATTTAGTCTAAGGTGCCATTTTGGTGCCGCTTTTTTGAGCCACAGCCATTTTCCCCCATTCCTCCGACTCGCCGGACTCGCCGGACTGCTGCCTCGCCTTCAGGCCAAGGCGCTGAGGTGGTGATCGCCAACTCCAGCGTCGCAGCTCGGCCAGCGAGCGAGCGTCGACGCGTCGACCCCCGACTTTGCCCACGCCCGAACCGCGAAAGGCAAATGGACAGGGGAAACGCCAAATGGATGTGGTCGTCAAAGCCGTTTTGGTCCCGATCCCATTTTGGGGTATTGGTTTTGGGGTTTGGGGGTTTTGGGGTAATTAGGTGAGTTCACCACCCATTTTAGGACCTATTTTAATGGGGAGTGGGATGTTCTACTGCTGTTGGGTTGGATCTGTGGACTTTAACTTTTTGGATTCCTTTTGCGGGGGGATCTACAGCACCCAAGGACAGGGAAACCCCAAATCAGCGGCTGGACCAAGTCGCGGAATTACAACCTCTAGTTACAACCTGCATGTGTCATCTTTTGTGAGTTGAGGATGCGCATGTTGGGGTAAAGGAAAGTGACCACTTGGGGGGGTGTTCCTATGTTGACACGTACCCAACATAGTCTGCTGGAAGGAAGTCTTTGCCTCTAGGCACTTCGACAGATTCTTCTGTTCTCAGAATGCTTATGCTCCCATGCGAACTCACTGTATCTTCCGAGTAAGTGTCCCTGGATTCAACTTTGCCCACGAAGCACTTGCTTGTTCATAGTCAGTCACTCTTGGAAAGTCAACATGTGGGTAGCAGTGGAGCATGTTTGTCTCGCAACCCGACTTTTCACCGATGTATACACACATAAGTACCTGTCTGGAAAAAATATATGTACATTTTCGGGGGGTGCCCCAATAAAAAGCCTTTGTCTTGGGGTACTTCTTTTTTGTGGGGTCTGCCAAAACTAGGTCCCCCAGTAGTAGTGCCCTTTTACCCTTTTTTGGGGGAGGGTTCCCCTAAAATAGACTGCAGAAAAAAGTTGGTGCCCTTATTCTATCCTCTCTACTGGAGGACCTAGAAAAGGAAGCCCTTGCTCCGTGGACGCCCGTTCCCTGAAACACTCATCGAGCCGGTGGTGGGGGGCGGCTTTTTGCGCGCTGAGGTGCTGGTGCCCTCGGCGGCCGTGGCGAGTGGGGAGACCTTCCAGCGCGCGCGGGGCTGAGCGAAATGCGCCCGGAGGGTTTGGCGGGGGGGGGGGGGGGGGGGGGGGGGGGGGGGGGTGGGGGTTTGGCGGGGGAGGAAAGGTGGTTGGGAGTGGGAAACGGTGGGGGTGGGGTGAAAGAACATGTGTGTGTGTGTGGATTTTTGTGGGGAACTCTTTTGGTTCATTTTTTTGCAAAAGAAGCCAGCCAGAAATTCCGTCCTTTTTGGCGTTCCCCTGAGACAAACCCAGAGGGCCAGGTCCTTCGAAGGGACCTTTGTTTCGGCGCCCGGTGGGGTGCATTTTGAATGGGTTGCATGGATCTTTGGTGCAACTAGGTTTTGCAGTAGGGCCCTTTTACCCTTGAAAAGGGGGAGGGGGTAGCGGTTTTCGAGGCCTTCATGTGTGTCTTTGGAGGGCACAGCTTGAAAGTAGATGGCACCTCGCCATTCGGCTGTGGTTGTCAAAACCAATGGTACCATTTTTTGAGTAGGTGCGCCACCCATTTTAGGACCTATTTTAGTGGTTGGATTGGGGTTACAGGCTTTGGCCATTCAGATTTATCATCAAGCGGGTCGTGCCACGCGATCGGAACTGGTTTAGCAGAGCCCTTTTCACGGCTTCCCCAGTTCACCCACTAGGTTCACCGGTAGTGCCCTTTTACTCTTTCTTGGGGGAGGGTTCCCCTACTAAAATAGACTACAGAAAAAAGACACGGTACCCTTATTGTAGCCTCTCTACTGGAGGACCTAGCCCAGGTGCGTTTTGGCAGGGGAACTCTATGTGGCAGTTGCTCTCTGTGCAAAAGTGCCTGCTTTTTTGGCCCACAGTTGCCCAGTGGTGCCCTTTGACCCTTTTTTTTTCTGGGAAGGGTTCCCCTTTAAAGTGAAAAGGGACGCCCTTTCATGGCCTGGGCATCTATCTGAGGGCAGGTAGTGGGGCACCGAAATTGTCCCAGAGAGGTTTCAAGGTCGGCAATCCCAAGCGCCCGGGTTCAGAATCCCAAGGCAGAGAGAGATTCCTGGGTGACACCGGGCTCGACTTCCCCCGCCCAGGCGTGCGGTGACTTCACCAACGGCGAGCATGCCGCGGGCCCAGGGGAAGCCGAAAGCCGAAGACCGAGACGCTCACGTCCAGCATAGACTCAGTGGTCCAAAGCCGACCTTTGGCTTTTCCTTTTTGGTCCATTTGAGGTCCCCAAAGGTGAACCTTTCCAGGTCCTTTGGGCAAGTGAGTAGCTGAAGGGGTTCTCTGGAATAGATGGGTACCTATGGGGGGCAAGTGTGTGGGGGCAAAAAAAGATGACGCGAGAGGAAGATGGCGTGGCCATGGAGGCCTTTTGATCTTCAGCTCAGTGGCCAGCGACTTGAGGGCCCAAGCTCCAATTGGCCCAAGTACTGCATGCTCTGATAGGTTTTTTTGTGAGGCGCATGTACACCTTTGGAACCATCTTGCAAGAAACAACAAGTCCATGAGGTTTCGAGGTTTTGGTCGCTGCTCGGTTGGTGCTCACAGACCGGAAGAAGCCATGAACTCTAAACGATTCCACTGCTTTGCTATGTCAAAGGAAGCCAACTTGGGGACCAACTGTTTTGGGGACCAACTCTTATTTTGGGAAACCACCCCAGGACCCCCGATGTTTATGGGTGCTGTGTCAAAGAAGAAGGACTCCAACGGGGAGGGGGGCCTTTTGTGTGTTTTGCAAGGAACCAGACCAAAACAGATCCGCATGTTCTGAGAAGTACACTTTCAATGTGCAAAACATGAGGGCAGTAGCCACCCCGATGCCAAACCTGGAACAGCAAGTTTGCGAAGCATCAAGGTGTTCGAGTCTTTTGTTTACAGGGGGGGGGGGGGGTGACCCTTGTTGGGTTCCCGCGAAAACAACCCACAGCTGCCGCAGGGTACGGTACGCAGGCAGATTCGATGGGCAAATCAACGCCAAGGTGGGCTCAATCACAGCTACCTGCTCAACCATGGGCAGCTACACAGGCGCAGGGCGACACCTCTGGCTTGATGTGTTGTTTCCGTTTGATTGGCGTGTTCTCTCTCTCTCTCTCTCTCTCTCTCTCTCTCTCTCTCTCTCTCTCTCTCTCTCTCTCTCTTGTTCAGTTGGTTTTCTCGCTGTTTTGTTTCCCGCTCTCTGTCATTCTTGTTTTCAAGCCCCGTTTGAGCTTTGGGCCTGCTTCTTCCTCCAATTCCAGCATGTGCTTGAAGCGCCGGAGTACTTCCGAGTCAAGAACATATGTGTCGAAAGGGACTTGGACCAGGGTGGGTGTTCCTTTTCTCTTGCAACGCCCGGGTCCGAGACACCGAGGCATTCCCAAGCCTTTTGAGGCCTTTCAGCCTGCTTGAGGGTTTTTGAGCTTCGCCTCAAGCTCCCAAATTTCACGCTGACTTGAGAACGACGGAGGGTATGTGTCAAAGAGGGACCCCAACAAACGGCGGTCGTCATTTTCTTGCGCAACGCTTTTAAGCAAGGCAGAGCCCAGGGGCAAGCAGCAAGTTTTTTGCTTTGGGGTCAGTTTGCTTGGGTGGTCAAGATCATGAACTTCTTTTTGGACTTGTTTTTGCGACGTTTGGGTACAAACAGGCAGCTTGTTTGAAGGGCCCCACCCACTGAAACGGAGACGTCCCCAAGCACTTGGACCTATTTTTCACAACCACCTCCGTCCTCCGTTGCACACGGACTTCACCATAAGGACGGTGAAACCGCTTCCTCCCAAAGGAGTGTAGCTTGGTGGGTGGATGGGTTTGAGTTTTCTGATTTGTTGGGTCCAGAAGTTGGTTGAAGAGCTTGGTGGCAGGATTGATTTGAGAACCTGATTTGTTGAAGGTATTGCCACATTCTGCTCGCAGCCAAGTTTGGACTCGCTCTTGCTTTCCTGCGCACTCGCGCCATGAGTCATGAAGCTTCGGCCTTGCGGCCTGGTCTTGGCGCTGGTCGGCGCGTGTCAAGATGAGCAGTGCCAGGCCTTGACCCGGAAAAATCCATGTCCCAAGACCCAGTGGCACCCCTGTTTTCTTTTCTTTTTTTTGGGTGGGGGGAGGGAAGGGTTCCTCCTGGAACTCAACCAACCCAAGAAGGATGCCGAGTCTTTCTTTCTTTCCCACGGAAATCCACTGGGCATTTGAGAAGAGGTAAACACAGGGAATCACCTTGGAGCATGGCAAGCTGTTGCCTTTAGGGAATGGGATTTGGACGCGGCAAATGGACCTTTACACCTTTAGATGCCCATTTTAGTCCAAAAACTAGGTGAACCTTGTACTCGCAGGTCTTTTGAGCAGGTTTGTTTTAGCTGGTTAAGGGTTTCTTTTTGGTGTCCTTTCAAGATCCATCCAAGAGGGGCATGGTTTTGAAAGAGCGCGGGCTTTAGCTTGCTTTCTGTGAGTGGGATTCCCTTCTCCTTCCCAAAGTGGCATTTCTGTAGCTCACAGACCTGGATTTGAATCAACCAAGTGGGTGTGGAATTTCTTTTCAGGGCCCCCCCAAAAGAAAAGAGAAGAGAAGGATTCGGCGCTTGGTGCCCCTTGGAACCAGCCCCAAAAAAGGGTACCTCACTTCCTGAGTTCATGAACTTTAAACTTTTTGGGAAGACCATTTTAGTGGTAAATATAAAGTTTGAACTTTTTTTGGGCCATCCACTCATCAAGTGAGGTACCCTTCGCCTCAAGAAAAGGAACCAGACCCAAATGGTATCGTAGAACTCGAGCGGTTGTCCTGAAGTTCTCAAGCAGAGGAGCCGCGATGGTGGGAGTCTGGAGAGAAGTTCTTTAGTCCGAACGTGGCTTGGCTGCCGAAGCCAAGCAAACACGAGAGCAAGCCCCCAGCTCGGGTTCAGCGCCCCCAGCTCGCGTGCTTAATGGGCCTCCAACAGCTTTCTGGTGACCAGTAGAGAATGGGTGTTGGGAATGAACCCAGGGGTCCCCTTAAAGGCAACCAGAGGGCATGGTTTATCGGGAATCCTAGGTGCCCTTTTACCTTTTTTTGGGGGAGGGTTCCCCTACTAAAATAGACTGCAGGAAAAAAAGGTACCCTTATTCTAACCTCTCTACTGGAGGACCCAGCTACTAAAAACCAGCAAGAAAAGTTAGAGCCCTGCCTCGAGGCCGATTTTGAACGGTCTTTGAAACCTAAGAGTAGCTCGCCCAAGAACAACCAGGGTTTCCAAGAACAACCAGGGTTTCCCCACTCTGTCGATCTGCGGGTATACACTACCAATCCCAATGGGAATAAAAGGGGGAGAAAAGCAACGAACTAAAGGGAACACAAAACGGCGGACAGCCATGTTGGGGGCCCGGAACCAGCAATTTTTACAGTACCGTTGTCTGGAACCACGCGGAACGCAGCCTGAGACAACACGGCTTCAGCTCTGAACGAAGCGGTGGACCAAGGTGATCCAGCTCGGCACACTGCTGCTCAGCTTCCATGGCGAGTTCATCCCAGCGGTTTTCGGAGTTTGCGCGCGATTTTTTTTTGTGTTTCCCCCCCCCGTATCCCAAAAAGCCAGCAGTGATGGAGAAGTTCGGATTTCAGCATTTTCTCCACGCCATTCCATTTGGCATGTCCATTCCCATCCAGTTCAACGGGAGTCATTTCACATGAGAGGGTTGCAACCGAAAACCAAGCCAGCAGATGACTTTCTCCCGGTGAAAGCGAAGGATGGGAGACGAAGATCAAGTTGGCACCTTTGCGGGTGACCTTCTTGTCCCCAAAACTGCCGCCCCTTCTGTGGTAAGACTTTGTCTTCTTGGGTTGGTTGCCGGCCTTATCATTCCATTTGTAGTTTGCGGTACCTGAGAAGTCCCTTTTTTCCAACAAATCGGTTGCCGGGCGCCCAATAAACCTGCTACATCGGGCAGGTCGGCGCATCGCGTGCGAGTGCGCTTCGATCTCGCTTGTGAGTGCAGCGCTGGTCGCATGGCAAACTCTGCCATCAGTTGGGCTTATGCTATGGCCTTCGGCCTCTGCTCTCTTGCTGGACTTCGGTCGTCACCAGTCTTTAGATGCTTTTGGCCTCCTACTGTCCAGTTTTCAGTGTTCACCTCGCCTTCGTCTTCACGGATGAGCACTTGACTTAACCGTTTTCCAGCGACTCACAAAGTCACCCTCGTGCCGTTTTCTTCAGGTTTAGCCGTTGTTTGTACTCTTCACCTCCTTTGTTTTGGTGAATCTCTTGCCTTGGTCTTCATTCATCAGGCCCTTGCGTGCCCAGCTGCTACTTCTCTTGCCGATGGTAAAGCACGCACAGTCAACTGCACATGTCAAGTGGGAAGCGCGCTCGCTCAAGAGCACCTGCTCAGCACTGCGAAACGGCGACAGCTATTGGGGTCTATCACTGGCCCTTTTTTATTAGTGGTGTATCAGATGTCTCTCTCTCTCTCTCTCTCTCTCCCTCTCTCTCTTTTTTGCAGTATGTCACCTCTTGTTATTTTTGGCTCCGGTAGACTCGCCTCACGTCAGGAACTTCAACGAGACGCTTGGGCGCTGGGACCCGCTGCTGGTGGCCTTCTTCGACCCGCGGTCCCAGTCCTTCCAAGAGCTGCGGCGGCCCATCGAGGACGCGGCGCACGCCCTGGCGAGTCGGAACGAGGCGCGTTGGTGTCTTTGGAGGCTTTTTTTCGGAGCGAAGAGGCGAGACAAATATGTATATATATATATATATATACAGTATATATATATATAGGTTTGCTTATTTATTTATTTGTTTATTTATTTTTTTTATTTATTTATGTATTTATGTATTTATTTATGTATTTATGTATTTATTTATTTATTTATTTATTTATTTATTTACTTATATATGTATATGTATATTATATATGTAATATATATATGCCACCCATGCAGGGGGTTACCCGGGTGAAGTGGGAATTGTGAGGGATGGATTTTGGAGGTAAGGTTGTATACCAAATGGGCTACTGCCAAACAAACACGTGATATTGAGACCGCCGACACCTGGAAGTGGCACACCCTTCTTCCTTGGACTTCGAGCTTACTGTAACTGGCGAAAACCCATGGCCCTGGGGTTCCAGGCCTCTTATTTGGGTGGCTCGTCTTTTTGATGCAAGCCGCAAGGTTGGCTCGAAGGGAGCACCAAAAGTGAAGCCCACGTCCTCAGGGTCCCCGATTTTTTGACCAACGCACACACGCAAACCCCTACACATTTCTGGCCTCGGAGTTCACCGAAGGGGATATGTCACTAGGGTTCACAATTCAAAACGACACCAATCATATAGTCGATGGCTTTGCGAGCTAAGCATCCCTATTGCGAAGGATAGTTTATGGTTCGGGGAAAAAAGTCGGAAAGACCAGATGGCATGATGGTAGACAAAGTACCCGCGTGGATTGGGACCGGTTTTGGGAAGTGAGACGCAGGGCCGCCTTGGCCGCTTCGCTGCGGTGGACGTCACACAGCACAGCTTCCTGAGCCGACTGGAGGCGCGGCGAAGCCTTCGCCCGGAGCTGAAGCGGTGGGGCCGAGGTGTGCCTTTTAGGCGAGTTTTGACTAGAAATAGATGGGTTTCACTGGTTGAGATGGGTTTTATTCAATTTACTGGGGCCATCGATTTTTCCAAAAGGCTACCTATGCTTTGGGGCGGAAAAAAATGGCCGGGATTCGATTTGGGGCGTGGCTGAAAATTTTCAGAGCCAGGGCAAACCGCAGGGTTTAGTCTTTGGTTACATTTACCAGGGAAACCCATTTTGGGGTTATATATAGCCTTTTTTTGAGCCACGGCCATTTGGAGCTCCAAGATGACGTGGGCCTTGAAGTTTTTGGTTTCCCAGCCCCAAAAACGGGTGAAGCTACCTTCCGCCATTTCCCAGAAACAACTCGCGGAAAGACTTAGACGGACAGATGCTCGCTGAAGGTACCCTTCACGCCGCAGAAGTTTCGCGGATGTCCATTTACACCAAAGTATTCAACCAACCTAAAACCTTTCCTTGCAGTGGTTTTCCTTTGGGTCAGGTAAACCTACTTAAAACGGGTATCAAGCAAACTCCAAGAGAACAAGCCAACTCCACAAATAATAAGCCAACTCCCAACAAGAACAAATTCCAGAATATAGTTGCTACAAAAACCCAACTCCAGAGGTAAAGGGTAAACCTCCGAAAAGTCCAAGACCACTCAACACAACAAACACTATCCTTGGGGCGTTGCTTTATGGTAAGGCAAACCAACTCCAAAAAAACAGACGAAGCTCCGAAACGTACAAGGCAAGCCACAATGTAAAACACACACACACACAAGAAGCTACAAGAAGATAAGAGAAAGCAGAAAACGCAAAGGTACAAATGGGCATAGGTCTAAATGAAACCAGCAGGATATGGACCGCAGGTTTCTGTGCCTGTGTCCATATACCAAGGCTGGCCACACGGTACCTATGTTTTGACCCACCCTCAACAACTATAACTAGAATCTGGGGGTGCCTCTCCATTCTTTCCAGGGATCCTTTTTTCTAGAAAACCTCCGGACACCCAGGGAGGATGGCCGGTTCTTGAAAAGAACGAAAGGTTGGAATCAACCCCCCCAACCCAACCCCCTCAACCCACCAACCCCCCAACCCCCCCAACCCCCCAACCCCCGCAACTCCCCCAACCTCCCCAACCCCCTCAACCCCACCAACCCCCTCAACTCACCAACCCCCTAACCCCCCCAACCCAACCCCCCAACCCCCCCAACCCCCCAACCCCCTCAATAGAAGGAACCTCCACACGAATCCCCGGGCTTTCGCAGGCACCGGAGCTGCAGACGGCCTGGCAACAGCCTGAGTCGGGAGAGTCCGCGACGGAGAGCTTCCGCTTTGGGCGGCCCCGGTTCTACCCGCTGATCATTTTGCTCCTCGACCGGATCTTCTAGGTCCCCCAGCTAGATGCCCTTTCTCACCGTTTCTGTTTTTGGTTGGGAGGGTTCCCTTACTAAAATAGACTACCGAGAAAAAAAAAGTTGGTACCAACTTATCTAACCTCTCTACTGGAGGACCTAGTGATATTAATATACCGTCCCTTTGCTGCAACGACCCCTGTAGAAAGACAACTCTCGTCTTGGAAAAGGGTCTTGCGCACTTCCATGTTAGTTGGTGGGAGGGTATACATCTATCTACAGTCTCCATGACCCCTAGAAAAAGGGGTCAGAACCCCTTGATTTTGGATACTCAAGGGTGGAGACTCCAGGTATCTATGTTCCAGGTATCTATTTAAATATGTATTACGCCTCCCAGACGAACATCTCCAGCCAGAACCAAAAAGGTAGATTATGGAGGGGGGGTCTGAGCATATGGTCAGCTCGACAGGTTGCGTCTTGCCATACTGGATCCCCCAATGGTGAGAAATTCCGATAGATGTTTTCTTGGTGGCTCCCAGCCATCCGGTTCCTTAGCTTCTTAGCCTTTTGTTGTGTGGTAGTTTCCATTTAACCCACTAAAAGTTAGTCACTTTTGGGGATCTGAGGGCCCAGTTTTCCTTTTTCCCGGGCGCGGGGCGGTCCACGCCGGCTCCGTAAGGTTCCTTCTCGCGGGTCGCGAGAAGGGTTCCGGGGTCGTTGACCCTATAGCGGGCAAATGGGCCTGCATCCCATGGTCATTGTTGGGAAACATTTTTCCCATTTTTGCTTATTGTGGTTTAGTGGGAAATCCCCACTCAACTGCTAAAATATTTTTGTTGCTCCCCTTCCAACGTCAACCAAGCAGGGCCCTGTAGGCAGCCCTTCGCCATGCTCCTTTACTAGGTCCCCCAGCTAGGTGCCCTTTCTCACCGTTCCTGTTTTGGGGGAGGGTTCCCCTACTCAAAATAGACCACAGAGAAAAGTTGGACCCTTATTCTAACCTCAAACTACTGGAGGACCTAGTTTGAGTGTTTAAGGAAGATGTTCCCTTGGTCATCTCGGAGGAATTGGACTCACTGGGATGGGTTTCGTGCTGTCGGATCTTGGGGTGCGGGGCATCTCTCACTCGGCGAGGCTCTATTCACAGGGCCAAAGGAAGGAGTACCAGGGCGTGGTCAAGGCGAAAGATATTTTGGCCTTCCTGCGTCGCGCCAAGGAAGGGACCGCTTCCTTTCGCGCCTTTTAAAGTTTGCCCACGCCTGGTCAAAGAATCCCGACCTCCTGTTGGCGTTTCTTTTTTTTGAAGTTTGGCCAAACCGCCCTTTTTGGTCATTCAGAAACTGGGGGTTGGTGATACCGCCCCTTTTTTTAGGCACTCAAAGACTGGGCGGCGGGGCGGGGGGGGGCCGCTGCAAATTCTTTCCCCCACCCTGAAGGAACCGGTGAGCCTCTTGCAGAACCGCTCGGAGCTTCGCCGGCTGCAGCGAAGATTGCCTGGGCCCTTGGCGATCGGCTGTGAGAACGTCACTTCCTTCCAGGCGAAGGGTCTGATTCCCTCCGTTGGCTGAAGCGATTTTTCCCCCTGTTGGTTTTTTAAGGGAGCCGGTTTCACTACTGGACATATGTTCCCCCATTTGCTGAGGTGGATTGTATTTTTCGCTCTAAATGAATCCGATTTCACTACTGGACATTCAGGGTTGAAGCAAATGGAAGATTGGTACAGGGCCGCCCTCCCCCCTTCAAGGTCGACAAGGTTTGGACAAGCCCCGAAAACTGAGGATTTTGTTTTGGAGGACCCTCCCTGATTATTCTGGAGACGCTTCAATTCTCGCCCAAAAGGTTCACCCACCCTGATTAATCGCGGAGGGTTTCTGTTCATGAGGGGGGGGGCTTGATCACATTGTCATTTTATGCAAACTTCAGTAACGACGGTTTTGTTTTGTTTTGTTTTTTGTTTTGTTTTGTTTTTTTGGGTGGGGGGCAACACCTGTTTTGGGAAATGTTGGGGTTTGATATTGGCTTGGCATTGGCGGGTTTAAGGGCAGCATAGGCAAATCTCAAGCAACCAGGAAAACCCCTTTGCTGTTTGTTTCTTCCGCTTGGGGGCTGCAGGGGGGTATGTTGTTCTGGTCAAAGCGTGTTGGACCTGTACTTTAGCACTCCTAAAGCTTGTTGGCCTGAACAAGGCCTTGTCCTATTTCGGGGGCGAGGGGGAGGGTTAGGGGTGCATCCTACCGTGGACTCCGGCAAAAGGGTCAGTGACCCCACCATGCCAAATTCTCCCCAACACAAAGTCAAGACACAAAAAGGCTACCCTCCCACCAGCTAACATGGGTTTGTGCACAGACTTTTGTAGAAAGACTACTTTCCTCTTGGAAAGGGCCCTTCCATGTTAGTTGGTCTGAGGGTATCTGTCCAAGCCCACCTTCGAATCTCCTGGCTTTGGGGTCCAGAAAGCAGGTGTGGAATGTAATTTGCTTCAGGCCGCTGCCCAGACGTTGCGTGGCGAGATGACCTTTGCCACTGGCAGCAAGGACCTCTGCTCGGATTTGTCCGAAACGAATCCCCCGGTGCTCTACCTACGAGGGGAGCGCGTGAAAGAACTGACGTCGGACCAGGACTTGGTGTACCTTGCCTTTGGAGCTTTTGGTTGTGTTGTGTCTGTTTTGGCCTTTTGGTGGGTCTCTTGGTCGTTTGAGTCTTTTGAGCTCAGGCACTGGCTGCGTTTGCAGAGGCCACAAGTGCTGCAAGAAATCACGCCAGACAACAGCTGGACTTTTCTGGAACGGCCTTCTCCCTTGGTGATCTATCTGGCTGATGGCAAGGGCACTGCCGCGCAGGGGGAGGTCCTGTTTGCGAGTATTGAAGAGCGCTTGGAGACGAAGTACTACCAGCTAGCCTGGGCAGACTGCAAGGAGTTCGGCGACCAGTTTGAAGTCACTGATTGTCCTGCAATCCTGGTGATTGATCCTGACACAGACGAGAAACTTGCTCATCTCTCTCTGACAGATCTGGAGCGGCCAAAACGCAAGGCCAAGAGCAAGGCCTCCACTGCGGAGCGGCTGTACGCTTGGCTGCAGAAGACGACGGCGGAGAGCCGCAAGCGCATGGACAAAGAAAGCCTTGCGAAAGCGTCAGCAGCTCCAGCCCAAGGGGAGATCGGGTGGACGGAAGATTGGATGAGGCAAGTCCACAAGGCCCTGGAGCAGCGGAATATGAGTGCAGAAGATGAAGGCTATGAGCTTAGGGATGCCAAGGGGCAGATCTTGGACTTCAAGGCCATGTCAGGCAACGACCTGCCGAAAGACCGATTCCCTGTACGGCTCCAGTTTCATACAGAGGTTGCGGAGGAAGCGGATGCATCCGGTTTCTGGGAAGATTGGGCCTTGGATTTGGACGATCTGTCCGCTGCATTCGCCAGCTTCCACGCGCGCTTGCAGCACATGGTGGTGCTGCGTGAGAGTTTTCAGGAGAGGGGTCTGTGCTCCAACGGCTCCCTCTCTTGGATGGGACCAAAGGGTGACCAGTTTTCTTTGGGGCCCATGTCAGGGCATAATCACAACTGCAGTTTGAAGTTTCCGAGTGGATCCGCGGTTTGTGTTTGTTGATGTTGTTTTGTGTGGCTGGTCTTTGGTGGCCTTGCTCCCTGAGACCGGTCTGTCATCGACCTTTTGCTCGGGGGTCTGGAGCAACCCCAAAGCTAGTTTTGTGGGTGTGGCTCAAAACTCAAGAGCTGGGGCAAACCGCAGGTGTTGGTCTTTGTTTCCATCCAAAGGGGCCCACAAAATGGTACCACTTGTTTGAGCCGCAGCCATGTGAATGGTGCTTTTCCACACCCGTCCAAGGGTTTGGTTACAGGAACATCTACAGGAAAATCCACCCCCAAAACACTCGAAATGAGCTGTTTCCCTGTAGAATCTCCTGCAACCCAAGCCTTTGAAACCACTGGGTGAATTATAGCGACTTCACACGACCGAATTCACCCCAAATGGTGGTTTATGTGGGGAATAGGCCCCAACCATCTTATTTCAGCTTGGTGAAATATTATAATTCACCCAGATGGTGTCGCCTAGAACCCCTGAGGTTGATTTAAGGGTAAGCCGGTAAACCGGTAGATCTGCCGCTAGCCAGGAAGCCTATGGAATGGCCATGGACTTCTCCAGTATTGAGAAGGTCCAACAGCTGCACCCTGAGATGCGATTGTTGGCGTCCAGCACTTCAGATGTGGCAGAGGCAGCGGGCAAAAATCTGGTCCAGATGCTGGCCACCTCCAGTTTGGGGTGGGGAGGGGGTTATAGATAGATGTTCAAACAGGGGTTCATAGACACTAGGTCCCCCAAGTGCCCTTTTGCCAACTTTTTTGGTTGGGAGGGTTCCCCTACTAAAATAGCCTACAGAAGAAAGAGTACCCTTATCCTAATCGCTGTACTGGAGGACCTAGGACAGCTGGTGGAGGAACATCCATTTGCCACCTTTGATGTTCACCGGGGGGTTTCCGGGGTTTTGACCACAGCCAGCGGTTGAAGCAGGTCACCGAGACTTTTTTCGGTGAAGCCTCGAGGTGCTGCGGAACGCCACGCGGCGCCAAGAGCTTTGGACAGCCATGGAGCGGCGCCTGCGCTTTGTGCAGGGCCTGGAAAGGGATCGCGGGCGGCTGCTGCGGTCCTTGAAGCGACCTGGAAAGCCTTCAGCTGGTGATCCTCCGTATATCCAAGCACTGTGATACAAGGGGGTTTTTGCCCAACCTCGCAAAAACTCCAGGCAAAAGTTTCGCGGTTTTTGGGGCCCCTGAGTTTTTACGGGTGAATTTGTCGTTGGGAAACATTGGGGACATGTTTGATCTTATTGTGGATTAGTGGTTGAAATTCAACCACTTAACTGCTAAATTTGTGTTTTTTTTGCTCCCCTTCCAACGTTGACCAAGTTGAAAGCCTTGAGCTTCTCGTTGCCTCATGTCATATATCCTTTAGTTTATTTTATCGCTCCGCGCGCCGGCCTCGCATGTCCGCCGCGCGGGATGGATGGATTGGATTGGATTGGATTGGATTGCGTTGCGTTGCATTGCATTGCATTACAGATGAGAGAGCGCGCGTGCGCAGCATCTGGACTGGCTCGGGGAAAGTTGGCCCCAAACGCGGGCAATGCAGGGGATGCAGGCGATGCGCAACACGCAGGGGCTTCCGAGGACGTCGGCGATGCTGGCAATGCAGCCGGGTTGTATATTTACAGTGCTGCAAGCCTTCCCCCAACTTGAGATCCAATGGCCGCGCGGGCAGTGATGTGCCAAAGCAACTGTCAGTCGGAAGGAAAAGCCCATGCGGCATGCTTAGCAGGCTGACGCCTGACTGCCGCCAGCTATTTGGTTGGATCTTGGGACTTTAGCCTTTTGTAAGCATGTGTGCGTGTTTCCTCCCAACCAAGAAAAGGGAACATTGGTGCAGGGGGCAGTAGCTACTGATATAGTCGATCTACTTCGAGGATCCCGTGTTTCAGCAGTTCGAGTTTTGGCATATTTTGCAGGCGCATCTGCTGCCATTTACGCAGGGCTACCAGATTCAAGAGCCTCTGGCCATTTTCGTCCCAAAAAGTCTCGCTTCTTTTCTTGACCGTTGCGCGCGCCTCCGCAGTCAAAAAAATATTACCCGCAGGTTGCAGCGGTAGGGATGTTGCCCAATCTTGAAACGAAGGCTGGACGAAGCCTGCGCAAATGTTACTGTTTGTGAGAAAAGCTCTCTTGAGACGTAGATGAGAAGTGACCGGAAAGCCAAAGCAGATAACATGACCAACCACCCTCACGCATGAAGGCGAGTCTGTACAACAAAGGATTAAGAAGTGTTCCGTTTTTGCGCATTTAATGCGGGTTTTGGCGGCGACTCCCTTGGCGCCTCATACCATAAGTCCACCCTGCGCCGACCCGAGCCCCTAAACCACCACCAAACCTACACTGGATCGAAACCCAGAAGCGAAAACGTGTCCCCTACAACAACCGTGGGCCGTCCCAAGATCAGCCACACCCTGCCCCATTCGCTGCAAAAGCACATTTTAAAGTGTGCGTTTGGCTTTTGAGCCCTCTCCCCAAACATCCTGCTTTGAAACCAGACTCGTAACATACCTAGAACATCCAACGTGCAAAATTTCCGCCGTTTGTTCAAAAAACCCACTGTTTCGTTTGAATTCCGCTTTTTCGATTCAACAGTGCTTTTTGGGAGCTTTGCCTCTTCCCCATTTTTTCGAAGTGGGAAAATCTGCCTTTAGACCGGGAAAAAATCCGCTTTTGACCGGCGAAATCCGCTTTCTCGCAAAACACTCATGCCCGCAAAATTTGCAGACTTGTCCAAAATTTCATGATTGCCACAAAGTGCTCGCATATTTAAAAGCGCTCGCAGTAGTGAAAATACCAGTTACTTCCAAAAAAGCACCTTTTTACACAATGGAGGTCCTAGGTATTGCCAGGCTGCGCTTGTGGAGCCAGCTTTGCAACGTCGCCGTCGTGAGGCCCGACGCCACTTTCGTGAAGACGTTCCGGGGGAGGCGCGGCCCATGCTTCTTTTCGCACATGCTGTGCAATTTGTGCGCAATGCGAGGAGATGGTGCCAGCGATTGTGAGTTTCACCAGGCGTCTGCCTAGGGTTGTAAAAGCCTACTGCCGGCATGCGACTGCACAAGCGAAACCAGTGCTGTGGGTGAAGGACGCTCAGGCACCTGCCGTGTTGGTGGAAGGACGGTCGACTGGACAACCTATTTTGTTTTATTGGGGGGCCATGCAGTGGAGGATGGGTCGGTGTTGCGCAAAAGGCGCTGTCGCCGGCTATTCGGAGAACTTCTGGTTGCTTCAGTCTGTCTACGACTTGGTCCTGCGGAGCAACTTAAGGAGCATGCCCATTTCCGGTGTCTGGACTGCGTCGGTTTTCTGTTTTCTTGCCCATTCAAAAGCGCATCTGCGGTCAAGAAACTCTGGCCCTTGAACCGCGCGTCAATTTCAGACATCACCGGCGCCACCACAAGCAAGCCAAGACCTTGGGGGGCTTTATTTTTAACAATCAGATCAACCTAGCGCTTTTCTTGACTGCTGCAAACGCTCGCGCGGTCAAGAAAGTCAGCCTAGTGCTTCTCTTGACCGCTGCAAGCGCTTTTGCGGCCGAGAACCTAGACCCCCAAATCTCCACCAGGGTGGCCCTCCTGGGTGTGCGTGGGTGGGCAAAGAGCAGGAGGGTCGGCGGATTGAACAAGGAGTTTAGCTTTTGCAGTTTTACAGTGCCCTGGTTTTTGGCCGAAACATACTCTTCACGGGTTGTAATGGGAATGTAGCGCTACTGCGTGTGATATCTTTTGTGTTGCTCTAAGAAATGGCTATCTGCTCAGGTTGCAAGAGACTTAACCAAATGGAAGTGGTGTAGCCTTGGAGTTGTATCACTTTGAGGCTGTTGTTTTTGCAGGCACCCTTCAACCCTTTTTGAAGTTGGTTTGAAGGGATACTACATGGACACCAACTCTATGTTTTTAGGAGGTCCTTTGTTTCAAACAAAAGGCACATTCTCATGCAAGTCGAACGTAGTAACATGTACCCAATGGAAGGCTTCCACTCTTGCTGTTTCATACCACTCGCGCAAGCTCTTGTTGGTGGCTCCAACTCAAAATTCAGCAATTTTCTTGTCGGCTCCTTTGATGAAAGTACCAACGCAAAACCACCCAACCCCGGTCTTGAGCGCCGACGGCCAGTTGAGTTCTGCACTCAAAACCGATTCCTATTGGCCCATTTTTAGCGGTGGTTCTACTTCCGCTAGTTTTTGATCGTAAAGCCTGCACAGACCTAGATAACCACGTGTTTAGTACTGAGGTGGTTCCACAGTTGTTGATCTCGGAAAACTTAAAGCCTGTAGACTTGTGTCAACAACCTTAAAAATTAAACCCAAACAGTCAAATGGGTTTCGGTCGCCTTAAGTTCAGCCTAGGCAGGGCTCCAAGTCTTTGCGACGCCTCTTTGTCTCCCTCCACGCGGCCGCTAGCGGAGCGCGAACGGCGCAACGCGGCCCCGCGGAGCCTTTGGAGGTGCCGCGGGTTTCTGCGGCGGATCTCTCGCTGCAGGCGAGGTTCGGGAACTGGAACCATAGACATCCTGAGCCAAGTGTGATCCAAAGTTGAGTTTGGGAACCCCGCAAATGGTGGTTCAAAAACAAGGGGTGTACTCCGAACTAGTTTTAAGGACACTGCAAGCTGTTCACTTATTCGAGGGGAAGGATCCCCCACAGCTTGCTTTGAATAATTTAGGGACAGGGAACCCACGCTCCGCTCGGTTTTTTAAGGGTTTAAATCCATGGAGCGCCTAATGGTTTGTCAAACCAACTTGGGATACAAAGGTGTTAGTTTTGATTCACTCTGTCCCTATGCGAGATTGGCACCAACAACAGTGGACACCCTGCCACAGTATCGGAATTTCTTTGCGACTAAGTTGAAACACACATGTTCAATAGCGCTCACTTCCCCACGAGTTCCCGGGGTCCTTTTTGGCAAAAACAAAAGAAAACCACCCTGGAGGACACGGGGCTGGTCAAGAAGAAGAATCCCCCAGTCTGTTCAACCCCGAATATCATTCGCTTATGAGGATTCTGGATCGGAGTCTTGACCCTTTGCACATGGGTTCTGGAAGCGAAGCACATAGCTTCGACTTCATGTCGCAAGCTCGTGAGAGGCCGTTGTCAAACCACCATGGGTCCAGGTTGGACATCCAAGTCAACGCTTGGTCTCCTTGGGCTTCCCAAGGCTTGGCCTCCAAAAACGCGATGTTTTGTTTTTTCTAGGCTAGGTCCCCAAGTAGTGCCCTTGTACCCTTTTTGGGGGGAGGGTTCCCCTACTAACACAGACTGCAGACCCTTATTCTGGACCTAGCAGGGGTTGATTCCTTGTCCATTCTTTTCAGCCATCCTTCTTTTCCAACACCAGTCGTTTCTGCGGGGCTTTTGGTGGATGACTAGCAAGAAGGGTCCGTGGAAAGAATGGGGAAGCTAGCCCTAGAACTTTGGTTGGCGCTTAATTCGCGAGCATGGCAAGCCTTCCTCCTAGTCAGGACTTCATTGAGAACTACGCCAAGAAGGGCTTGCCGGTCGCTTGCCTCACTTGAGCTCCTGAGCCAGTCACTACTTTTTTTGCTTGGACCATTTGAGTGGTCAACGCAAGAAAACAATGGACTCACTTTTTTGGGGCAGTCCAGTTGGATGCCATTGGTTTGAAACCGAGCCAATGAAACGACACCGATGGTCTCTGCACCCCAGGAGTGCAGCTCCCAAAACCGATTCCCATGGCCATGGTTAGAAGGGCTTCGAGGTACCGAATTTTTCACAAGGACGATAGAAAGGCCTGTCTAAACCTTGGTAACCATCTTGAGAGTTCTCAATGTGTTGGACCCTTTTGGTCTATAAAGGCAAATCAAAAGGAACGGGGCCCCGGCATTTTGGTTTGCACCCCCTTAGAACCCAAAGTCAGCTGAGTCCATTTCAGGTGGACCTCCAACTCGTAGAGCCAAACATCAGCTGGCCTCAAATGGCGGTTTCTGTTTTTGTTCTTCTTTTTTCCTTCTTTTTTTCTTCGGGAAACCAAAAGGACACCACCTGGATCGCCAGTTGCGATTGTTTTTTTCTATCCACTTTACCATCCAAAAACCGATCGCAACAGCGACTGAAAGAAGCGATCGCAACTTGGCTATCCAGGCACCTACCTGGAAGGCTTCCAATTTTGAGCAGGGCTCCTTAATTAAAAGATCTACATTTTGCAACCATTTGAAACATGTTGCTTTTTCCACCAAAATAAAGGGGCTTACCACCATTTACAAGTTGCAATGTTCAGGTGTATAATGCATCTGGATCCCTGTTGAGCAACACCTCCGGCGAGTTGGTTCCCTCAGGTCATCATCACCGGGCTGAACGTCAGCTCTGACTGGACACAGCTCAGCTACTTCCGGGAGCGATGCGGACATGTCCCCGCACGGCTGGTGCGAAAGGAGCGGTCTGGAATTTGGAATTCCGTGTGCAGTTCTTGCCTTTCTTTGAGGCCCCCCTTTTTTAAGGTTGGTATAGGGAAACCAAAACCCGGTCTGGAATTCCGAGTGCAGTTCCTGAATTTTCGAGGCCCCCTTTTTTAAGGTTGGTACAGGGAAACGCAGAAACGGCCATCTTGGGGGTTCCGAATGATTCCTGTTTGGAGAAGCTTTCTGGGGCTTTCAGCCAGGGACTGTAGGTTTTGAGGCTCGCTATCCTTTGGTTTGGTTGGGGAATTTAAAGGGAAGCTTCGCCATTTTGGAGGTCCAAGTCCAAATCCCTTCAACAAATACCCGGTTCCAATCGCATCAACGGGTCACACGAGGGTGTATGGGTTACCAGGTTGCCAGGTCACCTTGGCAAGGCGCCCTGCAAGATCTTCAGGAACAGTTTCTCCTCTTCCACTAGGGTATGTTTGGCTTTCTATTCAAAGGATCGGCCCCCTTTGAGGTGATACCTTGAGCATTTGGCTAAGCGTTGATGCCCGTTCTCTTCACTGATCCTTCTCTGTAGAGACCACGCATGTTCCCATGGTTTTGGCCTGTTCTCTGAAGAACAGGATCCCTGAAGTGAATGGGGATGGTACGACTAGATTGCCTTTTTGGGTCGTCTTTTTGTGGAAACCACGATTCTTTGGGTTTCCCAATTTTGACCCACCCCCCCTAAAACCTGTTATAACCATTTTGGGTCTGGAACCACAAGCCAATCCTGGGACCTGATTCACAGGTGTCCAGGGCATCCAATACACTTTTGGGGAGTTGCACCCCTTCTAATCCAGCTGGTTGGCCAATTTGGGGCTGGCATCAGGTCTTTGCTGGCCGCTTACATCCACATTTGTCAAACTTTTCCGATAGTCTGTGGTCCATCTAAATATCCCACAAGCCATAGGGAATTCACTCATTTTCCTACGTCCATAGATCGGCAGAGGGTTTGTCCTTTTTTCAGAATCCTAAAACGGGCCAACCTGGGGACCCGCCAAGTTTCAGCACGTCCTTTACATCAGCAACAGGCATGTCGTGGGTGTGTCAAACAGGAGCGACTCCCGCCAAACTGGTGGTTGTACTTTTGGGTTCCCCTTAAACAAATTTACAAAGTGTCCAGTCATCATCCTCTGCCATGGACCAAAGAATAGTGTACCCGTTGCAGCAACTCATAGTGAGGAAAAAGGAGATGAAGGCCAACGCCCCCGCATGACTCCCCCTAGCGTTTTTAGATGTTTCCAATAGCCCCAAACCACCCCCACGGTTCAATGGGATGCCATCACTTTGTAGCCGCTCCAAAATTGGGTCTATGCCCCAATGTGTGTGGGTCCCGGTGGTTGTTTGGGGATAGTGGAAACCATCTTGGATCAACATATTCCAAAAACCGCACCAGTTGGAATGGATGAACCCCCATGAATACTGGTTGATAAACCACCTAATTGGTACAGGATGGGGTGCATCCACAATAAGTGACCCCTCGGTCTATTCCCCAAACTCCTCTTCATTCCCTTGCTGGAAACCAGCAACTTTACTAGCGGAAGCCATTGAACGAGTTTAACTCACTTGCCCGCGAAGAATGCCGGATTTATTTTTGCAGCGTTGGGTTTCCCTGCTTTGGTCGTTTTAGTCAAGGTGAGTTTTCGGTGCCCTACCGGGCAAAAGGCAAAAGGTCCAATTCCGGGCCGGTCCAGTTCCAGGCTCAGAGTCGGACCTGGGGTCGCCTGGTGCCCGCGGGCAAAATGTCACTGGCGGAGTTTGTCGACACCTTCAACACCACGCGCAGGAATTGGTATTTGCACGACTGGAGCTTGCCGACACTTGGCTGGAAACTCACGAGATGGTGCTTCTTCTTTTTTTGTAAGCTGAGTATGGTTTTGGTTGCGAATGGGTCTTTCATTCTCCGATGCTTCGGTGCTTCGTTTCTTCGGTTCTTGTATTCTTTGGTTTTGTTGGTTGTTTGGTTATTTTGTTCTTTGGTTGGTTGGTTCTTTCGTTCTTCGGTTCGTTGGTTCTTACTGAACATACTGGCTTCCCCTTTATTCAGTACTGAGTTTGTCTCCAACTGGGGTAGCCTCATCATGGTCATTTTCCTGTTGTTGTCCCTTTAAAACCAAGCAAAAGGGGCTTGCCCGACAAATGACCCCCATCTCATTTCTTGTGGACTGCCGGGTGCTAGGCTTCCCCGAGGGTTGTTTCAAGGGTCTTTCGGGAGGCTTAAGCATTGGGGAAACCTCCGATGAGCATCGCTTGGCAGAGGCTGACTGGCCTTCAAACAACCTGGTCTCATCGCGGGGTCGGGTCTTCCGAGCCTCTGGGCTCCTTTTGATCTCCCTCCAGTTGGCCTTTTGATGTACAAGTCCCTTTTGCCCCATCCGAACTAACCGACCAAAAGGCTGGAGCCGCTGGGTTGAGTCAATTTCATCCGTGCAAGGAACAACTGCCCAGACGTCTTCGGGCCAGCGCCGTTTCGGGAGTTCACGGCGCCTCGTTTTTCCACGATGGATGTGGCTGTGGGTCAAAAACCATTGGTACCATTTTGGGATAGGTGCACCACCCAGTTTAGTCCATTTTAGTGGGGATTGGGATGTTCACTGGGGTACGGGCTTTTGACCCATGGCCATGTGTTTGTTGGTTGGTTTTGTTTCAACCCAGACCTAAACAGTTGCTTCCTTCCCTTTCTGTTTGGGGAGGGATTTCCTTTCAAATTGACTACCAAAAATGAGAGTGCCCGTTTTTCTTTGATTATCTGTTTGTGTTGCATTTTTCAAGGTTCTGGTTCGGTTGGTGTTTTCGTTGTCGTTGTTTTTGTTTTCTCACTGTTTGTTGCTTTTGTTGGTGGTCTCGAGTTTTTCTCGGTCTTTCCGGGTTTCCCCTTTTGAGGGGCAAGCAAATGGGAAGAAACTACCATCTTGTTTGTCCTTATTCGATTTTATTTAGATGCAAGATAATTGAACGCACGAGTTCTATCAAAGTAACTAGAAGGACCAACCAGCTTGTCTTTTTTTGCTACACTCTATTTGACTTAACACAACAATAAAATTAAGGGAGTTTCTATTTAACATCTGATTCAACACAAGTGATATTTGAATCACTTAGGAATAATCAACTAGCTAGTCTTTTCTGGACGATAGTTAAACTACTGTGAAATTCTAATTCAATTCTGATTAAGATCCTACTTGGGAACAAACTCCTATTTAGCATTGGGCGAAAGTCATGTTTAAAGTGTATTTCAACATAATAGTTCCAATCAAACTCTAATTGAACTCATATTTGGAGAACTCCTATTTAGCATGTAAATTAACGCAAGAGTTCTGATCACGTTCTAATTCGAATCCTACTTGGATGAGACCGGCAGAGACAGACAGAGGCCACTCAACAAGCGAAACTTTTCGCACGGCGAAGCTTTTTGCGTGTTCAGAGACCCTACCCCTTCCTCCAGCACTTTACCCCATCCCAGGGGTTCACACTGGCTGAGCCTTCGGTTGAAGTCCTCTGCGCCTGACTTTGGCGCCGGTCCTGTCCAAACCTTGAAGGGCGCTTCTTCTTTTTGCTTGGCTTTTCTTGGCGGTTCCCAGCCATCCAGTTTCCTTAGCTAGATCTTTTTGAGTTGGTTTTGTGGTTGGTTTTGCAGTTGAAGCGATAAAAGTTAGTGGGGGATCTGAGGACAGCCCAGTTTGCCCCGCCCTTGCTTTTGGAACGCAGGTGCCGAAATACTTCGCAGGTGACTACTTCCAACGCGCAGCCTTCGAGGGTTATCAGCGCCCCAGTTGCCAATGGTGCTCTTTTTGCCTTTTGTTTGGGACAGTTTGCCTTCGACATCAACAAAACCAAGGCCGGTCTTTGCTGTGACCTTGGTCTTGGACATCTAGAAAAGGTTGCCTAGGTCCCCCAGTAGTGCCCTTTTATCCTTTTTTGGGGGAGGGTGCCCCTACTAAAACAAACTACAGAAGCAAGTTGATACCCTTATTCTATCCTCTCTACTGGAGGACCTAGTTGCCCTTATCCCCATTGTCCTTGTCCCTGTCGGTCTCAGGCACACCTGGCCGAGTCTTTTTATTGGCTCCAACGAGACGGAAAGCGCGCTGCACATCGACTCGGGGAATACGAACTTCATGCTTCATCTTCTCAGCGGCCGGAAGGAGTGGCGCTTCTACGCTCCTTGGTTGCATTTGGCCAAGGGATGTTGGGACTTCAACTTTTTGCCAACGGTTTTTGTTTTAACCTGCGGCCTTATCCAAATTATGGCTTTGTTGCATTTGGCCAAGGGATGTCAGGACTTGAACTTGCCAACGAATTTGGGTTTTCCGTATTAAGCCACTAGAAGTTCAAAACTTGTATCAGAGCAGATTTCGCCACCGAGGCTCGCAAGGACTTGATCAATCTGTGCGGGCCTCAAACGCCTCAGACGCCCACCTGGGGGGTTTGGACCCCCCCTTTCTTGGTGGTTCCCAGGCATCCCCTTAGCTTTTTTTAAGCTTTTAGCGTTTGGTGGGGGTTTCTATTTGACCCAGGAAAAGTTAAGCTTTTAGCTGGGGATGTGAGGACAGCCCAGTCTTTATACATTTTTTGTTTGGAGGGGGGAGGCTGAGTCACCCCCGGAACATGAACCAACCCAAAACCCCAGTCTGCTCAAAATCACCTACCAAAAGATAAAAGTGCCGATTCCTCTTTCTTCATGGAATTCCACTGGTTTGGGAAAAGGGTGACTTCACTTTTCTTTTTCTGTTTTTCCGGCTGGAGCGTCCGAGGTACCAAAGCCCTACAGGAAGCCACTTTCATTTCGATGTTTTCCGTCCAGACTATGACAAGTTCCCGTTGGCCGGAAACGCCGAACAATACCGTGGTATCCAAGAAGCTGGTGAGACCATTGTCATCCCTGCAGGGAATCCTCACGGGGTGCGCAATCTCGAGCACATCCATGGGATCAGCATGAATTATGTGGATGCGACTTGGTTGCCTGTTTTCACCTTGCCAACTGTTCTGACCTTTAAATCATCAATATATTTTTTGTTTGAACAACATGTGTGTGTGTGTGTGTGAGTGTGAGTGAGTGAGTGAGTGCGTGCGTGCGTGCGTGCGTGCGTGCGTGCGTGACGTGAGTGAGTGAGTGCGTGGGTGGGTGGGTGGGTGGGTGTGTGGCTGTGTGGCTGTGTGGCTGTGTGGCTGTGTGGCTGTGTGGCTGTGTGGCTGTGTGGCTGTGTGGCTGTGTGGCTGTGTGTGTTTCTCTCAAACTTACCAAGATTTGTGTTGTTCTTTGTATAAGCGAAGGCTTCACTGTTTTTGGCACGTTTTATTTGTTCGTTTTTGCTACAATATTTTTAGACCATTCGGCTTTTTGCTGACATAGGAGGGGGGAGGTATGGTTGTCTAGTTGTCTACCTTTCTTTTCCGATTGCTCTTTGATTTGCCTGATTTCGTTTTGGACACTGTTCGACCATGTGTGTCTTTTGGCCCCTTTGGACCAGGACACCACTTGGACTTGTCTCCCCCCAAATAACGAGATGCTTCTCAGGTGTTGCGGGTTTCTTTCAGATACAGTTGGGTGAAAGTAGAATACACCTCCCCATTTCGCTTGAGTTTCATCCTCTTAGAGGGAACAGGGGCAGTCCATCTAAAGAGCTTGGCCGTGGGTTGAGCGAAGGACCTCGTTGACACTCCCTCAGCGTGGTTGTTGTTGGGAAACATCTTACATTTTTGCTCGTTGTGGTTTAGTGGGAAATCCCCACTTAACTGCTGAAATTTATTTGTTTGCTCCCCTTCCAACGTCAACCAAGTCAGACTAACAGCCAGAAGCTCCCAGGCCGATCCCGTAAATGAAACCAAGTCTTCCATTTCGGGGGTTCGGCAGCTTTTGACGGACTCCTCCGGGGTGGATTTTTGTTGGCGCCCTCTTGGGTGGTTTTCAACATCAGCTTGTTGGCCTATGAAAGGTGAGAATCCCTTGGTGGGGGGTGATGTTGAAAAATGGCTGTGGGTCAAAACTAGGTTCCCAACATGAAACCCTGGCAAATGGAACCAATAAACTAAAACCTGCGGTCCAATTCCTTTTCTTTTTTTGACCCACAGCCATATAGGGAGCCCTGGAATCAGGTGAGAATGCCTTGGGGGGGGGATGATGTTCAAAGCGCCCTGTTAGTCTGCGTAAATGAAACCAAGTCTTCCATTTCGGGGTCCGTTCGGCATTGGAATCCTCTGAAGGGTAAAGGGGCCTGTGAGTCCCTGGTGGAGGCGAGTAACCTGGAGCTCTGCCTTTTGCAGAAGATCTGGCAGGACGATGCCGAATCCGTAGAGCTCTACACCGACGGCAGCATCCGGTTTGGTCTGACGAAGGACTGTTTTGTTTCTTGTTTTTTTTCTCTTGATATGTGCAGCTTGGGTTTCAAACCTCACCTTTTGGGGCCATTGGACATTTTTTGGTTGTTTTCGATGTTTCCATCTTGGGTTTCAAGCATCACCTTAGAAGGGCCCGTTTCAGGTGAGTGCCCTTTTGCAGAGGTGATGTCTTAAAGGGAAATCCATGACATGCCGAGCCCAGGATCAGCAAGCGCTGAGCTTTGGTCAATGGAAGTCCCAGGATTGGACCTCGAAGACCTTGGACTTGTTTTGACCTCGCCATCCTCCCAGGTGCTTGGGACACCTGGTTGTTGTTGGGAAACATTTGTTTTAACCCATTTTTGATCTTATTGTGGTTTAGTGGTTGAACTCCAACCACTCAACTGGAAAGAAAAGCATGTTTTTTGCTCCCCTTCCAAGGTGAACCAAGTACATGGAGTTGGATCCTCGAAGTCCTGGAAGTCCACTGGGACCGTTTTGCCAATGAGCTTCGCCGAGCGCGTGTAGACCACGTAGACATGCTGATGTTTCAGCGGATGCGGCCATGCTGTCGGAGAGGTTTGAGGCCTACGGGTGCCATGCTGCAACCAAAAGCACCAGCCAGGCGCCCGTTTGGGGCTCCAACCTCTTCCGATCCGACTCGGACTCGGACCCCGCCGGGTCCACGGCTTCCGATCGCGAGCCGAGTTTTCGGGCCGAAGTTCGCGCCCGAAGCTCCGCGCCAGGCGAGCGCTTGAGGAGAGAAGAAGCCGCGCGGAGAGATGGGAAAATGGCGCCTGAAGCCTTGTCAAGCCCCGAAGATGGGATACTGTGTTTTTCTGTTGTTTTCTTTTTCTTATTCTTTTTGTTTAAACAATAAATAAATAAAACCTACATATTATATTATGTATATATATATATATATTATATATATATATACACATATTCGAGGGGGGGGTCCCCCATGTTGAAGGGCGAGGATCCAGGTAAATGCGCTGGCCTTTCCTGCTGCTACTCGAGTTCCCGTGCGAAGCGGTGTATCGCGTTCATGTTCCTGTTTTTTTGGTGGTGTTTTGTGTTTTGCAATGGAAACATAGAGGGGTCGACCTCCGCGTGGATGTTTTTCTCCGTGTTTTGGGGCGCAAGGTAAACCGACCTTTTTGCCGAAAGACAGCCCTGCTTTCCTGTCTCCCATGGCTCGCAGCCCGAAGGGCAACCCTCAAAGGGCCCCCAAAAAGCAACCCCCCCAAAGCCCCAAAGAATCCATCGGCCCATCGGCCTTTCTCATCCCAAAAGGCTCGCTTCACTATGTCAAGACCCAGCCTTTGGTCGGTCTGCAAGTTCGGATGTGGCAAAAGGGACTTGTACATCCAGCCAACTGAAGGGCAAGGGGAACAATGAAGAAGGTTTTCCTAGCCCAGAGGCTTGTGGGGCTTTCAATGGAAGACCCGACCCATCCATTAGACACCCGCTAACCGGTGCTCGGGACCCGGTCTCAAAACCCGGTTGTTCGAAGGCAAATCAGTCGGGTCCCAGCCTCTGGGAGGAAAGCCCGAGGCCTGAAGAGAGCCTAGCAGATCTGCTTCTCACTTGAAAGGGGGCGGCTGCTTGCGGTGGGCTGGAGATACTCCTGGACTCCTACTTTGGCAGGGTGATGTTGCGAAAACCCATGATGCGGCTCGAGAATCGACGGGGTCTGGAAGGGGTTTGTGCAAGCCATGTTTGTTGGGAGGGCGCTAGCCCAGTCAGGAAACGAAGCACCGTCCCGTTTTCTGTGTCCTAACTCGACCCTAGCCTCGCAGCCTCACCTAGGGGGTATACATGTGGGAGGGTGGCCTCACCAACCCATGTCTGTCCTTTTGTGAGGGTACCCTTTTTGGGGTTGGTTTAAAGGGAAAGGGAAAACCACCAGTTTGCGGGGGCCCTAAACAAAAGGCACCCCCCATGCCCTACGTTTGTTGGGAGCCCGGAAGGACCAACCACTCGCCAGGCGTCGAAATCGCCTGCGTGCCCAAGGCCTGCAACGCAGGCGCCGATCGTGAGGTGTTTTAGCTGTCGAAGGAAGGACTCGTGGCCTACTTCCACAAGGTCCCCCCAGCTAGGTGCCTTTCTCGCCCCTTTTTTGGAAGATGGCGCTCAATCAACTAAGAAAAACGATAAACAACTAAGAAGACACAAAGCGACTAACTAAGAGACATGAGGGGGGAGGGTTCCCCTACTAAAATAGACTACAGGAAGAAAAATCGGGTACCAACTTATTCTAACCTCTCTACTGGAGGACCTAGTCCAATTGGAGCTTGGCATTGGGTCCCGGTGGAATTTGCCCGTTGAAGCAACTTGCTGGTGCTCAGGGGTTTGGAAATTCACCCAATGACTCCTTTCTGGGGGTCATTCCCTTATTCCCTGCCTGCTGAGAACCAAAAGAATGGGCTTTTCGACCACATTGAGACACTCCGCAACTGTTTTTTGGGTGCTCTCGTTTTGTGGGAAATGGCCAGTTGCCCCTTCAAGGTGATGCGAATTGGGCAGAGGTCTAAGGTTTGATCCCCCTTCTCTTCACGTATCTTCAACCACCTATCTTCGTCGTTTCGTCGCCGACTTTTGGAGGACCCAGAGGTTTCATGGGGCTTTCAATGGAAGACCCGACCCCTCCATTAGACACCCCAGAGGTTTCGGTGATGGGACCCGGTCTCAAAACCCGGTGGTTTGAAGGCCCCAAATCAGTCGGGTCCCAGCCTAGAAACCACAAGCCCCATGGGCTTGGGACGCTGAGCACCTCCAATGCTCAGGCGACTCGGTGAGTGTCACGAAGGGTGCATTTCAGAGCACCATCACCTTGCCGGAGACCTGGGAGATGGGGACTTGGGGTTGTCTAAATGGAGAGGGGCACCCTCATGGGTGGCTTTCTTGTGGTTTCCCCTTTACACCAAACAGGGCACCCTGAAACACCCAAATTTGGGATGTGCAATGTGGATTAACACGGAGGGTGTTTACCCAAATGTGTCTACATGCGAGTCCTGTTGCCTCAGAGCTAATCAGCCTGCATAGGGGTGGTGTTTCCCCCAAACAAGTGAAGGAGTCCCTCTCCAATGGAACGTCCCATATTGATCATTACTTCGGGGTCAACATTTTAGAAAGCGCCCAAATGGCGCCGGTCTCCTTTTGCTTCTCCTTTGAAACCTCTCCAAACAGGCTATCAAAGAAAGACACAGCCGCATTCTCCTGGCTACCTTCAGGAGCTTCGTCTTGGTGTTTGAGGGGGAACATGGCTCCGGGTTTCATTCTCGAAATTAGTCGAATCTACAATGGTTCGACTGAATCGAGAGGGGCACGCATGGTCATGTGTGGCTGGTTGTTGGGCTGGTGGGCCATGACTTCTGATGGCATTGGGGTCTCTTTGTGCATGGGTATCCTTTGGAGCGATTGTTTCAGGGTGATTCTTGCAGGGTGGGCAAACCTGTCTAGTTGGCCAAAGGGGACACTAGTGGAAACCATTTTTCAGACTGATCCTAATCATTTGCCGGACACCTGGGTGTGTGTCTTCTTTCATCTTTGGGAGGGTTCAAAAGGGGAACCCAAAAGGACACCGAGCCTCATGGTGCATTTTGCGGGGGCAATTTGTTGGACAAGTCCCAGCAGAATTGCGGGATCAAGGGCTTTCTCCAACCACTTCCGTGAATTCTGTGGGGAATCTCCCCGCTTATGGGGGGCACATGCGCTGAGGCCCTTTTTGTCGTATCTCAGATTCGTGGATTCCCATTTCCAGCCCTGAGCCCTCGAACCGAAGGCCGAAGCTTCGGCTTCCGGCTTCGACTCGGGACTCGTCTTGAGGTCCGCGGGCCTCGCGCACACACAGACCTTCATCACCACCTGCCAATCTGCGGATGAGGCGAGTTGCAATGCTCGAGAGTAACTTCTAGGGTGAACTGCATCGAACCCATGCAAATTGTGAATGCTGGAGGAAAGTGTTGGGGGAGCTGCATGGGTTTCATGTTCATTCGGAAAAGAATGAGCCGAGCGCTCACGAATTTGAGGTTCGCCTTGACAAGCCAAAGCACCTAAACCCCAGAAGTTTGAAGGGTTGACATCCCAAAGCAATTTCCCTTTACCCCCCCCCCCTTCAAGTCTCCGTAAACCCGTTTGCTTGAAATCCCCTCGGGTTACCCTCGCACCCCTTGCCAACGTCATTTTGAATTTCTCGGTGAGGCCTTGCGCGGCCGGGCCCTCAGAGCTGGATGTACCTTAGTGTTCCCAGAAACAGAAGGCACCTGAGGGCCTGAAGAGCACCTGGAAGATCAGTTGCCTCTGGGGACCTAGGCGCCATAGTGGGCACCTCGGGGCACCTGGAAGATCGGTGTCGGAACTCTTAAAGGGGCCCGCTAGGCGCCATGGTAGTGGATGGGCTCGGTTTGTTACGCAACCCCTGAGCTTGAGAAAATTGGTTCTCCTCAACTCGGGGCAGGCATGGTGGAAAATAGGGTTTGAGAGATGCGCCTTTGTGGCCAAGGGAACGTGCACAACTTTGGTATCACAAGAGGCGATTTTCCACATGTTGGTATGTTGGTTGTGATGATCAACCCCTTCGCGGATTGGACAATACGAATCGAAGGACTTCGCCTTTTCCTTGGAACATCTATTTCAAAGCGGTCCTGGTCCTAGGCACCGATCAGGGCATCAAGCTTAGACACATCAAGGTCAACGCTGTCAGGCAGCATAATTGAAACGGTTCCATTTGGGTCCCAAAATATGGATTTGGACACCGCAAATTGGTGGTTTTCCTTTGGTGTCCAATTAGCTTCTGTGGCCCTTTTCATTTCCGCAGATCACGGGGTCCTTGCCACGTTCTGTGTGATTTAAGTTCATCCCAATCTTGAGTTTCCCGGAAAGGGTTGACATTTACTAATTGAGTTCTGTTTCGACATCCGAGATATTATTTTTTTTCTTGATTCCCTTTAAGGGTAAGTCTTTAGATTGATTTCATTTGATTTCACCGGCGGAGATTTCAGGTTCGGGACCTCGCATGCATTCGGACCCGTCTCAGGCGAGTTGCGCCTGACCTGCCACTACGGCACCCTCCAGCCGGACACGCCGGGAGCCCCAGCGAGCCGACGCCGATGCCGGCAGCTGGCGGGGGGGGGGACGTAGGGTGCGTTCCACCGCTTTGGGGTGGTGTCAAGTTGCTTACCTCTTAGAAACACAACTTTTCAACTTTTTGGGTAACATGGGCTATATGTCTGTAAAAGATGAACTTCCCCAGGGCTTGGAGTTTTAAGGGGTAAGGTTGGTTTGCCAGAAGTTCATCATGTTCAAAAGGAAAGGGAGAGAAGAGTTGTGAGTTGTTCTAAGGGTTGATTCCTTGTCCATTCTGTTCAACCCTCGTTCTTTTCAAAAACCGGATCCGTTTCCGCTTGGATTCTGCTGGGTTTTCTGAAAAGATGGATCCCTGGAAAGAATGGGGAAGTGTCCCCTAGAGTTGTGTCAAGTTGGCTTGCCAAAAAGCACATTCATCATTATTCAAAAGGCAAATTGAGAGAACACTTTTTTGCCAAAAAGCACATTCATCATTCTTCAAAGAAAGAGGAGAGAACTGCAGAGGTCAAAATCACACCGCTGCGAGTCAAACCCAAGCGAGCGCTGGCTTCAGGTCCAATTGCGAGATCTACTGCCTGCCATCACGACCTGGACAGGCGGCTGTCAGGGCGTGATGCTTCATGTTGCCGGGGTGTGTCCCTCCATTTGGCATGTTTGTATTGCTAGACCTGCGAATCCTACAGGTCCTACACCGCTACATTTCACCTCCTCGGGCCAGGGATGGAAACGTTCAGAGCCAGGGCTCATGGGCTCTTTATAAATGATTTCCGTATCCGGGGTCAAAATGATTGGGGTCCTTGGTATCCCTGGCGTCCGACACCGGGTCCAAAAACGTCCCAAACCAAGCGTCATGACGCTGAACTGGTTGGCTCCCCCTCCATTTCGTTTCGAAGGACATAAAACCCGATGACACCAACTCAAATCCAGTGGGCAGCTCTTGCCCCCCCCCTTTGTTCAAGTTTGTCTTGGGGTTTCCCTAGATCAGGTACCTAAGAAATAGAGTGCGGTATGAAATGGGAATCCAGGATGAATGGCCTCTGGTCGATTAATAGAGTGGGGGCTTTCCGTTTGGTTGTTTCTTGGAGCCGCCCCAGAACAAGGTCCCTAATTTTGACTAATAGCCTCTGGTTGATGAATAAAGGGTTGGATGTCCCCTCTAAAATGAGGGGATGCCCCACTTTTTGGAAACACCTGCTGATTAGTCCGCCAGGTTGACTCATAATTTAGGGGCGTTGAACGCACTTGGGTTTGCATCAGGGTCACCCCTGTCCATGCTGGTTAGGCAAAAATCCAACCAACACAACAAAAGACAAAGGCAACAAACAAAGAAATCCACCAACACAAGACAAGCACAGGAAACGAAAAGCAAAACGAGAGACACAGTTTCCAGGTCGTCGGTCGTCGGGTCGTCGTATGTCTGCAAACCTGTTTTCGGCCATCTCTCTAGGGGTTGATTCCTTGTCCATTCTTTTCAACCATCGTTCTTTTTTGAATGTTTTTTTCAACAACCGGATCTGTTCCCCTTGGGTTTTTGATGATTTCCTGAAAAGAAAACCGGATCCCTGGAAAGAATGGAAATGGAAGGTACCCCTAGAATCTCGGCGAACCTCAAAAAACTCGGCGAACCCTTCTCGGAGCCAGGCCGTTCTGGGAGGCCAGCTCTTCTCTGTGGCACCTCCGCAGGAGACGACTCGTTGGGAAATGGTCAGCCTCCGACACCCAACACGCGGGGGGCGGGGGGGGGGGGGGGTTTTCTGGTGGTTTCCTTCTGGTGGTTTCCCTCGTGAAAACGCGGGAGGCAGGGGGGGGGGGGGTCCGTAGCTTTTCTGGTGGTTTCCCTTGTGGTTTCCCTTTTGATCAGCTTCTGGTCAGCTTCAACCCCTTGCCAAAGCTTTTCCTTATAGGTCAAGGCAAGAGTTTTGGGAAACCCAATGCAACTTTTGAAGCGGATATCCAGTGACCCCCGGTAAAATCAGCTGCCCTCTCGTTATTGATTGATGAATTGGTCGCAAGATCAAGGGTAATCTCCTCCAGGTTGGTTTCGTTTTGGTTTCCCTTTGAACTTATCGAGAAGCACTAATTAATTGGATTGGAGGTTTGGAGATTGCGGGGGGGGTCCCATTTAAAGTATGCTCTACGAGCCCAAATCACCAACCCATCAACTCAACCCGTTGCGGGTAGCCTGCGTGGGCATGTGTCAAAACGGCATACCCTCCAAATTGGTGCTTTTCTTTTTGGCTTTTCTTCAAACCAACCTTGAAGCAGGGTCCCCAGGCTCAAAACTGCACACCCTGGTGTCTCCCCGATACGAATTGCACCGTGAAAAAATGGCAAGGACCCTTTGCGAAGATGTTAGCATGCAGCCGGCCTTCTTTAACACAGGATTTCCACTACCCCCATCCATTTCTCGCTGTAAACCACCCAATTCACCTGGGGTTACTTATCGTTTCCCTCGAAACCATCCAGAACGGGGTTCAACACCTAACATTTGGGGATGTGCATGCTGTGAGACAACTCTTAGCGCGCCCGACACGTTTATAAAGAGCTATTTCCCCAATGTCAGCCTCATAGTCCCCCTCTATATTATTTTGTTTGTTTCTTTATAAATGTGTCGTGTGTGTGTGTAATAAGAAGACTCCTGGTCCACTTGGTACTTGCATGCTCACTGTAGCGCTGCTTGTAGTGCTCCGTACTTCTTCTTTTTGCAGACCAAAAGTGGCCTTCGGAAACGCGAGGGAGTAGCGTGTGGCCAGGCAGAGAAAGCTTTAGTCCCCAAATGACGAATATCAGGCTGCTGTTATCTTTAGTTTATCTTTGGTGTCCAAGGCAATTATCTGTAGTTTCCTGGCTTGTTTATCTTTAGTTTAGGCTCGTATTACCCCAAGCCCGGAAACATTGCCTTTGACTAACTCATCATGAGCCACGAAAGATTGGGGTTTGTCTCAAAATAGGGGAGCCGTCCCAAGACGGGGCCCGCTTTATCTTGTTTCCCTTTGTAGGTAGCCAAGAGCACCACCAAGTAAGACTAAAATCACATGGCGAAGGGTTACCTGGGGCTTGCCCCGTCAAAGCTTCCGGCGGCTTTGTTTATGCTTGATGTCCTGTGGATTGCAGCATCTAACATGTGGGCTAAGAAAAGGACACCTCAAGATGGTTGGTTTCCTTTGGGTTTCCCTTTTCCCCCAACCAACGCGGGTTCCTCAAAAATCTACACCCATGTCGTCAACTAAGAGCATGGCCCAGGGTCATGTCAAAACCAGGAGGTGCTGGACGGGGCTGGCTACTTCTTCCCCTGTGCTGACCTCTACACAGGCTTCGCCGGCCAGGCGATGCCGCGAGCCATCGCGATGCCGCGATCCGTGAGCGCCAAAAGGGAGCCGGTTGAAGTGGAATGGACCAGGCACCTTTTTGGAGCGTTTGTGTTAGCGTTGTTTTCGTTGTGTTTTTGTTGGTTCTGTGCATTGCCTTTTGTGTGGTTGCTGGTTTTGTTGGTTTGGGTTTTCTTTTTGGGCCTTTTGTTGGTTATTTATCTTTTGGTAGGGGCTGCAAGCATGGATTATTTGCGAGTATGCACCCTTTCTCTCTTTGTTTGGCGGTTTTTCCTTCAACTGCGGCCAACCCCCCAAACAAGGCCCCAATCCTCTTGCTCCTTTTGCAGGTCACTAGGCAGACCTGCTTCCCAAACAGGAGACGCCTCCGCTTTTCTTTTGTTTCGCCAAGACGGGGTTGACCTGAGCCCCAGGCGAACATGGGCCCGAGAGGAAGGCCCCCGAAATGGATCATGTCCTTCCGGGGACCACGTCTGATCCTTTGAATCCGAGGTGAAAACATGTGGCCGTGGCTCAAAAAACCGGTACCAAAATGGCCTTGGTAAATGGAACCAAAGACTGAAACCCGCGTAACCCTAACTCCCTAATTTTGAGCCACACCATTTCAACCGCGAGCTGCACTGTTCTCAGACGAAGACCTGAAATCCGAAACCTTTCCGAATGGACAAGGCATGAGGGCAAATGGGCGTGTCCTCATTTCGCTTGCCTGGGGTGACTTTGATGCTACAAACCTGGGTGAGAGCAGCTCAAGCAACATGTCTGAGAGGTTGCCCATGTTGGTAGGGGAGTTATTTTTCACTTGGTCTCATGAGGGTCATTGTAAGGATAAAGCTTTGTAACCCCATGTTGGGATTGAAACCGCTCATTGCTTGATCAATCCTGGTCCATGGAGAGCTGGGAAGAGGTGCGGACTCGCAATGTTTCACCAACACACTTCAGCACGGACTTTCCCTCTAGATCAGGTTTTTGGATCGCCAGTTGCGATCGCTTTTTCCCATTCATTTTACCATCCAAAAACCGGCAGCGACTGAAAAAGCGATCGCAACTTGGCTATCTAGGTATGTTTGGACCTGGTGGTCTGCGTCAAAACTCGCATATGCTTTGCAAGCAACACCCTGAAGGCCCTTGCCTGGGCAGTCTACCGAACCGCCGGGTCCAGAACCGACCGCATCAAAATGTGGGCTATGGGTCAAGATGAAACCAGAAACTGGACCGCAGGTTTTAGTCTTTGGTTCCACTTACCAGGCAACCCATTTTGGGCATGCATGTTTGACCCACAGTCCCATGTAATGTCATTAAAGGAAGCTTTGCAAACTTGTGCGGAGCCTGTTTAGCCTCTCGAGCGGCGCGGTGTTCCTTGATTTCCTGTCGTTGCTTCTTCGCCGTCGCACGCCTGTCACTTTACCCATTGCTACCCACATTTCAACTGCGAAGATCACCCCATGATGTTTGGGGCAAGTTTCTGGGCAACCTCGCCCCTTTCTAGGTCCCCAGTAGTGCCCTGTTGCCCTTTTTGAGGGGAGGGTTCCCCTACTAAAATAGACTACAGAAAAAAGAAACGGTACCCTTATTCTAACCTCTCTACTGCGACAGGTGCAGGCGAGCTGCAATGGCGGCGCGCTGGCGCCTGATGTTTCAAGTTGCTCGCCGGGGCCCCGGCCAAGTTCTGGATCTGACTGCCACGATTCCCATGATGACTTCCCTCTTCACATGGGACCTGCCTGAGGGGTCCATTTTTTGGGGGAGGGTAAAGGTGATGACTACCCTGCTGCTTATTAGCATGGATTCCAACGTTTCGGGGTCCCGGAAGATGTTCCTTGAACATGGATCTGGTGGGTTCCGGACAGGAGATAAACCGAAATTGGGGGGGGGGGGAGTGCGCTTTTTTTTCACCCAACTGTATACCCTTTGTCGCCCTTGTTGGGAACTGCGCAGAAGGGCTCTCGGTGCACCGAATCCTCGGAGCTTTCAAGGGGACATGCGAGAAACAAGTCTGAAGTTGCAAGTCCTCTGAAAATAGCGCCAAGTGGGACTCGCAGAAGAAGCAAGTGTGACCCAGGTGTTTTATTTACAATATGGGACATGAGTGTGTGCGTTTGCAGCGGCACTACAGAATGATAAGCAAATTCAATTACAATTCTAGCTCAGTTTCAATGTTGCCGGTAGTTACTACCGGCACTACCGCTCACACCCATGTGTGTGCACGTACGCATGTGTGTGCGCGCGCGCCTCATGAAACAATCGTCTTGCTGTGGACTTTGGACCTCCCCTACAGATTAATATACGGAATCCAAGCGATCATGATGTGGCTGTGGCTCAAAAAAGTGGTACCAAAATGGCACCTTAGACTAAATGGAACCAAAGACCAAAACCCGCGGTTTGCCCCAGCTCTTTAATTTTGAGCCATACCCATGTGTGTCCATTCGGTTCCATGTTCGTCAGTGGAGTTTCGAGGTTCCCGCGAAGGGGGCTGTTTGCCGAGTCTCCTTGAGACATTGAGAGGGGCTGAGACATTGGGACCAAGCCGAACTCATGTCTTAGCTTTTAATGTGGTTGCTCCTCACGACCTTCCTCCGAACTCATGTCTTTTGGGAACATGGCGATATTTCCTCACTCACCTGGAGCAGCTTCAACTTGCAGTGTTCAGTTGGAGCCTGGAGACCAGTACTTTTGAAGGTGGCTGTATTAGGATTTAGGTTTTTCTGCTCTCAATTTCAACCTTGGAGCCGCGTGTTTTAGCACACATTTGCTTGGACACGAAAGGGTGTCGGTGTTTCCCCCCCATTTAGGAGGCCTTACCCCCAACCAAAATCGAATTGGGCCGAGCCTCTCGTCTCATTTGCCAGGGGCCTGCCGTGCGAAGCGGGGAACAGCAGCTCTGTGACGCTCTATGACGTCACGCAGACTTTGACCCTCTCTCAGGCGAGGTGTGTTTTGGTTGAGGGTACCTTGATTTTGTGAACCAACAAAGGAAAAAGGGTACCCAAGAAGAACTTTGTTGTTTTTGGGTGGAAATCAAATGAAAAACCACCAGACAGAAGGTCCCCTATTTCAAGACACACCCAGGCCAGGCTCAGAGGGATCGGGGATCCAGATCTCCGTGTCGTGGAGTTGGATTTTCGGTGCAAAGGCTCAAACTGTTGTTTTGTTGTCATCTCGCTCAAGCAAATAAGCGGAGCAGCCCGGGTGCATGTGAGGTAGATATTGGTTTTAGACAACCATGACGTTGGAGTTTTGACCATCGAATCGCACCCTTCTGGACAGAGACAAAAAGACCCGTATAGTGCATGATCTCCAAAGAGCTCCCTTGCTTTGATCTGTTTTTGTTTGTTTTACGCCTTTCGGAAAGCCAAGTTAGTTTCCTTATGGTTGATGTTTTTTCGGCCCTTGGGTTTGTTTTCCTTTAAACAACTCTAACCACAAAGGGGTGCCCTCAAAGGAGTTGCACTCCCTGGAGCTCATGGGGTATCACCGTGTCGCCGATTTTTTTTTTCTCGGACCAGCCGAGATCCAGCGAAGACCTTTGGTGAATATAAACCTTGCCCTGGGCACTGGATATGTTTTTTATGCTCAGGGTTGGGGAAAGCATCAGGCACCATAGGAAAGAGTTTCCCTTAGGGTTGAGGAACTCAAGAAACCCTGTGAACGCTAGACTTCATACCGATTTGGTTGACCCGGACTCTCTGACCGAACGAGATCAAGATCGATCTCGTCAGGATTTGGGCCACGACGCCTTCGTGAGCTCAGACTGTGCATCGGTGAACTCAGACTATGCGCCCTCGATGCATTGATCGTCCCTTTTTGGGGTTCGCAGTGAAATCCTCTCCTAGGTCTCCCAGCTAGGTACCCCTTCTCTCAACCTTTTTTGGTTGGGAGGGTTCCCTTACTAAAATAGACTACAGAAAAAGGGTACCCCTATTCTAACCTCTCTTCTGGAGGACCTAGTCTCCATCACCGTGTTCCAGAAAAGAACCTCTGGATTCAAGGGCTTTGGGACATTTGTGGCCCTGCCCCTGCCAGTTTCCAGACCAATGTTGTGCACGGATTCAAGCCTACCCAACACGAAACCAGAAGCTCCCAAACACAGTCACCCAACACTTTGCAGTCAGGTATAGGAGGGTACCTTGCTTTGGGGAGTTGGTCAGGGCTGTGTGGGTGTGTGAAATCGGGGACACCAAAAGGAAGCCAGCCAATTTTAGTGCTTCCCCTATCTTGAAGCAAACTCATCTGATAAATGCAACAGTAGATGACAGAATTCCGAATGTGTGTACCAGCATTACTTCAACCATGGGGGAGTTGTGCCACTCTCACCCAACCGGGTCACCCCAAGAAAAGAGGCCCGGGAACCCTTGAAGTGGTTGAGTTTCTTTTTCCCTTTAAGACGCACACAAAAAAAGGGTACCCTCAAAAAAGGAACCACACCGGTTGCAAAGTTTGTGTTTTTTTTTCCACCCGTTTTTCGCAATGTTTGGTCTTCTTTTTCTTGTTTTTCCAAGAAAAACCCTCAAAACAAGGGAGAGGGAAAGCCACAGCCATGTTCCACGTTCGGTGTTCGCTTGGCCTACGAAATCTTCCGCGTTTGGGGACTCGGCCGATTCCCCGTCCGATCGGATTCCCCGGCCCCAGAGCGGCACGCTGAAGCTGCGCTGCTTCGCCGACGCGGGGGGGCCCAGGGGCTGCTGGAGGGCACATGCCTGAGCCACTTGCTCAAAACCAACCAACTCACCAACCAACCAACCGACCAACTGACCGACCAACCGACCGACCGACCGACCGACCAACCAACCAACCAACCAACATACAAACCAACCAACCAACCGACCGACCAAGCCAGGCCCACCTTCGGAACCTCTTGATTTTCTGTTCGTGGGAAACCTCTTGGCAAGACCTCAGAGATTTGCGGAATCATTCAAAGCTGCATTTGAGCCATGTGCTCAAAACCCGGGTAGATGAAGGTTAGTAAGGGCCGATCACAACCATAAATAGCTGCGGCCGCCTTCTTAATCCTGTACATGGTTCTGGGCAGATCATTTTAGTACCAGGTTTTGATTGCGACTCACCTGGACTCTTCATTAGGTAACGGGCGTGGGGTCCTCATCATTTTGCTTCCACCCTTTTTCGGGGTTCCTTTTTTGGAAAAAATGTCGCAAAGCACAGGGGTGCAGCTCCTTTTGTTTGTTTAAGCCTTTTGGGGTTGTAAAGGAAAGCCAATTTGGGCGGTTCTATTTTGAGGAACCTGGATGTGGTTCCTTTTCGGGAGGCTCGGTCCACCTTCAAAATGAAGGGTTCCCTAAATTACCCCGCAATCCAGGGTCGCATTCCACATTTGAGCCCCTCTTAGTTCGTAAGTTTAAACCGCTAAGCGGAACCAGCCAGAAAGAAGCGAGTCCTATTTTGAGATACCCCATGGCTATGAATTTTCATAGGGACCCCTTCAAATTGTTTGTAGGCTTCTCAATTCAAATTCGCGGCCATGTGCCAAGCGTTTGGCCGAATTCGCCGGGGAGCCGAATTCTTCCTTGGCTGTTGGCGTCATTCGGGATTCCAGAAGGAGCAGACGACACCGGGATGTCACAAACGAATGTTCCAGATTGCCCCAAAACCCATGAGGAGTCCCTCGAGTTCCCCGGACCTTCGACTGCGAACAAAACGAGACCCAGAGGCTCTCGACTTAGGGCCTTCTTAAAAAATCTCGGGTTTTGAGACCGGGTCCCAAGCACCGGTTAGCGGGGTGTCCAATGGAGTCGGGTCTTCCATTGAAAGCCGAAGCCCCCGCAGGTTTTGGGGGGATAAGAACAAGCTAAGACTTCTGTCCACTCAGGAAGTGAGGATTGGAAGCTCGACTCCGTTTGGCGCTCTCGGCAGGCGACCTCCCGCGATGTTTGCGACCTCTCTCGGTTCAAGGCCTACCTTCCAATTCCATTCTTTCCATTGATCCGGATCTTTTCAGCAAACCCTCCAAAAGCCCAGGAGAAACGGATCCGGTGTTTGAGAAAAGAAGGCTGGTTGAAAAGAATGGAAGAGCAATCAACCCCTAGAAAGGTCTCAGTTGTTCAGTGGCACCAATTATTTTCCCTTTTTTTTGTTGGTGGCTGCCCCACTAAACATGGTCTTCCCCAAAAAGGCTTCCCTTGTTTTTCTCAGGGCCACTGAACAACTGAGAGGTGGTTCACCCGGGGACTCCTTGAGTCGCCGAAGTGCTGAGGCTGTGAGTGCGGACACCAGCGGCTGTACCTGCCAGGCGCGAGCGTGGGAGAGTTCCTCTGACCGTTGGCTCAGTTGGGTATGGGTCAAAATCAGGGCTGTGGGAAATGGAATCCACTTCTGCGATACAACAAAAAGGGTCTCCCAAACACTACCACCCCCATTTAAACAGGGGATTCCCTTGTATCACAGAAGTGGGGATAAACCCCTTGATCCTGCAACCCTGGTCAAAATTGAACCACCAGGAATTGGACCGCAGATTTTAGTCCTTGTTTCCATCTACCAGGGCAACCCATTTGGGGGTTTCCCTATTTTTGATCCACACCCATTTTCGCTCGGAAGACCGCACCAGGAGGCCATGTTTGTTACCCTCACGGGCGAGTTTCTTTTAAGGTAACCTTTAAAGGCTCAGTTGGACCTTAAGGTAACTTTTAAGGTACCTTGTAAGGTAACCGCTGGCCGGCCAAGTTGGACCTACATATTCTTCAGTTGTCATATGGCCATGGGTCAAAATCCAAAGCCCGTACCCCCAGTGAACATCCGATTCAATCCAACCACTAAACTAGGTACTAAAATGGGTGGTGAATTCACCTACCCCAAAATGGTACCATTGGTTTTGACCCACAGCCATGTAACCTGTTCTGAAGGGATGCATTTTAAGGGAAATTTTCAGCAAAAGTCCAAGGATTTGGGGTGGGAGGTCGATGATCACATTTTGTTTGGTATTCGCCTTTTAGTTTGTAAAACAATACCCGCATAACCCCCCCCCCCTGTTTGGCCAATTGAATATTTGTTTCTAGTACCTGGTTCTTTGGGGGGGGGTCTAGTATATAAACCTTTCAGAAAGGTAAACCTTTTTTGTTCATATTGGCTCAATGGGTTATGGGTGTTGTTCTACACCACTTGTTGAGGATTTACCAACTGCATATTACATAGTGGTCACAGCTCATAGCCACCAATTCAGGGCTAACCCAATTTCTCAAGGGCAGGGGCGGGGTGGAAACCCTCTAAGATCAAATGCGGCCTGAATGATTCATTAATTATTTCTGCGGTTTAAACCACTACAACAACGGCATTGGGGGGTAATAAAAGCACCATTTTTGGTACCTTTCGGGATGTTCATTATCCATCTTGGGTCCTTGCACCAGTCTTAACAAATGAGAATCGGTTGAACCCCAGGGTTGCTACTGTGGATGCGCCAAATCCATTTCGCACCACCTAAGAAATCCTGGAATTTTTCGACTCCCCTGCAAGTACCAACAAATATTACGGTTTCAACCATGGGTATTTTGCGGCGCAGGCCCCGACTTCGGGAGACCATCCACAGTAGGACTCAGTTCGCGTCTTATTTTTATTTGTTTTCACGATTCGAACTCCAGCTGCCTATCTCATAGGGAGCCCTAGGTGTATTTCGAGCGAAAGCCATGATAAAGGTCCTAAAGCCTTTACTTGAAGGGGTCCCTTCAAATCTTCCAGAAATTTCACTTTTTTTCATTTCGATTCGAATTCCACGGCCGTTTGGATTTTCAGCTTTTGGACGGGGGTAGCTTCCAAATCTGCCAAGTTTCTTCCCAGAGGCTCCTGGAGCTTCAATGGAAGCCCCGACCCCCCCTTCATTAGACACCCCGCTAACCGGTGGTCGGGACCCGGCTTCAAAATCCGGTGGTTCGAAGTTCCAGCCTCTGGGTTCAGTGAAAGCTTTTGGAGGCCAAATCCCTTCCAGATCTTCGCACATTTCCTCAGAATTTCCCCACGCGGTGCGCGGATTTTCGGGTTTTCGTCGCGAGGCGCAGGCCTGCAGCACGGCGCCCTGCCCGGCCACGGACACCTTCTTCGTGGAGCTGCCGGGACCACTCGGAGCGAGCGTTCGGTCGGAGCCGTCGGGCGTGGCGCTCGCGTAAGCGCGCGTGCCCGCGAAAAATGGGGTGGCGGAGACCGAGATCCCTTTGGGGGCGGAGATGAGTCCCTAGAAACCAAGTTCCTTTTTTTGTTTTGGGGGGGTCCCCGGAATCTCTAGAAACCAACCTGGATGCAGCCAGGTGCGACGGCTTTTTTCCATCCACTTTACCATCCAAAAACCAGCAACAGTGACTGAAGAAGCAGCAGCTCGGCTATCTAGGAAGTTCCTTTTTGTTGTTTTGTTCTTTTTTTGGGGGTCTCCTATCCCTAGTTTGACACGCACACACACAATAATCTCGGTGGCTCCCAGCCGTCCGGTTCCTTAGCCTTCTAGGCTTTTAGGGTTTAGTGGTAGTTTCCATTTAACCCACTCAAAGTCAAGCTTTTAGCAGGGGATCTGAGGGCAGCCCAGTAACGGGTGTGTTGTTTTTTGAGTTGGCACCCTTTTGTTGGTGGTTTTGGTGGGTCCCGAACAAGAGATATCCCCAGATGAGTGGGATGCAACAAATAAAGCCCATACCACGGTGTTTGGGCTTAAAATGCTCATGCTCACAACTTTGATTCTCTTCGCCTCACATCGGAGCTTTGGGTTCTGGCACACCCGACTGGACTTGTTTGGGCTTAGATGTTAGAGATATTTGTGACCTAGGGTTTGTCCCCCCTTTTTGTGTTGGAGGGGGATCCCTTGTGTGGTGGTTTCGAAAGGCGATTCAAAGAGTTGATGAGTCCCCAAGTTTTGGGACAAGGGACCAACGGGCTACTGAAGTTACATTTGCAGCGTCCAAACTTTGGAGCCACAGCCAAAGAGCAACCAGTGGACAAGCTCGCCGAGTTCAGGTCAATGGATGTAGAATTGAATCTCAGGCTTGTCTTCTTCCTGCAGAGAAGGCGGATGGCGTGTGATTCCTTTCCTCTTAACCTGCATTCATCCTACGATAATACGATTAAACAAAAAGGTGAATGAATGCAGGGGTTGGTCCCGTTGACCCAGCACTTGAGGTTGTGGTAAAGTCATGCCAGATATTTCAGGCCCTCCTTTTCGGCTGGGAAACCTGCCAGTCCAAGAATCTGAGGTATGCTTGCGGACAAGTGGAGGGGGGGTTTTTGTTGCCAAATTCCTGTGATTTAAAGTAGTCATGGCCATGGGAATCAACCACCCCATTTTTTGGGGAGGGGAATCCTACTTGTGTGTGTCCTTTTTTTGGGGACCCCCCCAAAATAGCTGGGTGTCCTTTGGTTTCCTTCAAGCCCACCAAAAAAGGTGGGGATACCGACTCACCCCCCCGCTTAGATTTTGCCGCCACGAGGTCTGGCATCCAGGAGAACCGCGCCTTGGGCACACAGCTGGCGAGCTTGCAGGAAACGACACTCAGCTGCGAGTCCGCAGGGGGCCCCGGGTCGGCTAGTGCCCACTTTGAGCGTCGGTTGGCTCGCTGGTTTTGCTTGCCTTGCCTTGTTTTTATGCTTCCGTGGGGATGACCTGGTCTGGCCTTCAATGCAGTGTCCGAAGTGGGGAAAGCAAAGGACGCCATGAGGAAACATGAGGAAACCACCAGGAAACCAAGCCGAGACCAGAACGCCTTCCTTTCTTGCTTGGGAAGCTGGAGTATCGAAAGGACGCTCATAAACAAACCAACAGGAAACCAAAGGAGACCAATTGGAAGCGTCACGCTGGCCTCAAATTTCAGGGGAAGCCACACAGCTGGTCTCATTGGTTGGACGGGTACGCCAATTTCCTTGCGCCCTGGATCGATTCAGTTGCGATCGCTTTTTTGTTCTTCTTCTTTTTTTTTATCCATCCACTTTACCATCCAAAAACCAGCAACAGTGACCGAACAGATAGATCGCTTTTTTGAGTCGCGGATGCGATCGGTTTTTGCAGTACAGTGTACAGTGGATGGGAACAAAGCGAAAACGCAACTGTCCCATCCAAAAACCGATCGCAACAGTGACTGAACAAAGCGATCGCACCTTGGGCGATCCATTCGTTTTGCAGGTGGTACCCGGCCACGACGGCAGCATGACGGTCCTCTGCAGCGGAGGCCCAGATTTGAGGTCGAAAGAGGCCATTGGAAGCGAAAGACGCGGCCACATTCTAGGTCCCCCAGCTAGGTGCCCTTTCTCACCGCTTCTTTTTTTGGTTGAGGGGTCCCCTACTAAAATAGACAGCAGAAAAAAGTCGGGCACCCTTAGTCTAACCTGTCCACTGGAGGACCTATAGTCGTCCAGTTGTTTTTGTTTGTTTTCCCCTGTTGGTTTTCAAGGGAATCGATTTCACCATCCGTTTTCAAGCGCTCTTTGAACAACCATCCGTTTTTTGAGTCTCCTTAAACCATTGGTTCAACAACTGCCTCCGGGGGATTCAAATCAGCAACAAAAACTGGGGCTTACTTGTTTCCATTGTTTACCTTGGGGTTTCATCCTCCAAATTGGGGTTTGAACCCCCGGCACTTCCTTTGGGACGTCTTAAAGGGTCACCTCAGTTGTTCAGTGGCACCCATTCTTTTTCCCTTCTTTTCGGTGGCTGCCCCAGTAAACAAGATCTTCCCCAAGAAGAGTTCCTTTTTTCTCCAGGGTCACTGAACAACTGAGTCACCGTTTGGACCAAACAAACGGTTACGCAGTGCGAGCGCTTCCGGCCTTCCTGCAGGCGTTCTGCAGGCCAATACTGCCAGCTGCGCTCCGAAACTTGGCGTAAGAACGAAGTCGGGTCCAGACCTTCGGTCGGTTGCGAACCCCTTGTTCCATCTGCTGAAATGAACATGTTGTCATTTTCCCCTGTTGGTTTTAAAGGGAATCGATTTCACTACGGGACATATTTTGGCATTTTTTCCAGGGGGCTTAAGCAAATGGCAGGCTTGTTTCATTTGTTTCTCGCGTGGGGAATGACCCAGGGTTTGGGAATAGGTTGAAGGGATTCCCTTGAATGTGCTCAGAAGGGAATGACCTGCTGAGTGTTGGGAAATCATAGGGGTTTGTAGGGGTCATTCCCTCATTCCCTGCTGAGAACGCGTTCTTAAGCAAATGGAAGTGGCACAAAGATGCGACCTCCCGGACCCCAGTGGATTTCCGTGGGAAAAGAGATATGGCACTCTCGTCTTCGTCATGGTGTTTCTCTTGTGGTTTTCCTGTATGGCCCCCCCCAAAAAAAAAATCATGGGAAATATAACAGATCGTTCATGGTTTTAACAACTTGCTGCTTGTACACGTTCCCCTGTTGGTTTTGAAGAGACTCCATCCCTACTGCGCGTGTGTGTTTTCCAGCTTAAGCACATGGTCAGGCAAGCCTTAAGTGGTGGTGGGCTGTGAACTTCTGGTTCTTGTAGAGGGCACGTGGGATTTCCCACCCACACCATCCACACCAATCCACACCGTCAGGGGCAAGCTGAAATGGAACTAGGCGACGACTTGCTGCTGCGATAGGTAGGGCATGAGGGTTCATGAGCCCAGGAATTCCCTTAAAGGAACCCACCAGTTGGATGGTTGAAATCGGGCTCATTCCATTTCTCAGGGCTTTTGCATCTCGAGATGCACCGATCGCAAGACAACTGGTATGGGCTCCTCGTTTTCCTCGAGACCCGACTTCTTGTGGAAGTATGCCTATCGCAAAAAGGCAAGACGACTTACATTTGCTTAAGTGTTTTTGTCTTTTTCCCCCTTGTTGGTTTTAAAAGGAATTTATCACTACAGGACATATTTTCCATTGTTTTCCAGGGGTCAAGGGTCCTAACCAAATGGAAGACGCCAAAGCAGAGCAAACCTCCACGTTCTTCGAGAGCCCTGGAAGCCCTGAGGCGGGGATGCAGCAGCAAGACGCCGTCGGCGACGGCGGCGCTCTGAGTGGATGCGAGCCAGCAAAAGACGAGACCGCTCTTGGGTTTGAACTTTTGGACTTTTGATTTTTTTGGGGTTGGGATCTTTAGACTTTGACTTTTGGTTGAACTCAAGTGGAGTCTTCCGGACTAAGCCCCCCAAAAAGTGAGACACTTTTCGCAGGGGGGTCAACAGCAACCAAGAAGATGGGGATGGCTTGAAACCGCGCTGGCCCAGTAAGTCCTCCAAGACGACCTTGGTTTCGCTAGGAAAAAATGGAGGTATAGAACCTTTGCTTCTGGACATAGTGGGGTCTACAATGTGGCAACTGGCCATCGTTCAACGACGCACTCAAATGATTCTTAACAAATTATGTTTAATCAACTTCGCTTTCCTCACACGCATGTGTGAGCAACTCATGTGCAGCGAGGCAGTTGTTGGTGGTGTGGTCAAGGAGATCACTGCTTCGCAGGAGCCGAGTAAAGCGCCCAACCTCAGATCTTATGAGGCAATGACTGTGGCAATCCTGGTCTTCCAGTCGCACCCGTTCCCCCTTTTTGGTGGGTTTTTCGCGCCGCCGATAAAGGGGCGACCCTTTTCTACGAGGGTCACTGGGCGTGCGTGGGCCATGGACAGCTGCTTTCAAGCTAAGGCGTTCTTTCGCACCTCAGCTGCGTGTTGGGCCAGAAACATCTCGGAAGATTCTTGGGCAGGGGCAGTTCCAGTTGCAAGCTTTCACTTCCCAGAGGCTCCGGGGCTTTCAATGGAAGACCCGACCCCTCCATTAGACACCCCGCTTCGGTGGTTGGGACCCGGTCTTAAAACCCGGTTTTTTGAAGGTCCTAAATCACTCGGGTCCCAGCCTCTGGGTTCACTTAGGGTCAAACACATGCGGCACGGCGCTTTTCCGTCACAAAACTCACTTCAGAAGGGTAAAAAACAACAACCGCGGCGCGGCGGTTCTTGCGCGTAGGACATGGTGCACGGAGACTACTTCCTCGCCGGCAACTGCTCCAGCGTGGCTTCGGGCTACAACGGCGTCCGGGCACCTGGTGCGACCTGGCCACGGGCAGGCGTTCATTTTTTGGACCCCCAAAGTAGACATGGGTATTTTTCGTGACTGCTTTGCTGGCGAAACTTCTGCATGGACCCTCAAACTGCCCTGACATATGGCGGATATGGGTATGGGTCAAAATTACACCACCAGGCGACACCGCGGGGTGTTGTCGTTGGTTCCATTTACCAGGGCAACCCATTTTGGGTACCCATTTTTGATCCACAGCCACATCAACCCAGGTGGTTGATGGCCAAAAAAGCAAGAATGAAACCCAACGCTGAAGTCCACCTTGGTAGTCCAAAACTGGAACCACTGGTGTCCTTTTTAGGTTAGTTTGGCTAGACATCGATGGGTTTCACTGGTTTGGACGGGTTTTATGCCCCATTTACCCAGGGAAACCTATCTTCTTTTCCGAAAGGACACCGATGAATGGAATGGCTCAGGGTACCTTCCGCGGCTTTTCGTTTTGGGGACCTTTCAGCCGAATTTCCCTGTTTGGTTCATAGCGGCAAATGGTGATCACATTGTTTAGATCCAGGTCCTTCGGGCTGAGATGTGTGAAAAAGTTTATTTTTTGGAGGGAATCTATTTCACTGGGTATGTGATTCATTTTTTCAAGACGTGTTCGCACATGGCGGTCCATTGGGGTTGGTTCGAAGGAAACCGGCGCACTGCAGTGCGGGGTGTGGCATGGAAACGGCTTTTTTTTTCTCCCTTTGACAAGTTTATCCCCTTCGAGTGATAAAGTCGCCCACTTTCCGAGTTCAGGGCCTTGCCACTTTTTGGGAGGACCGTTTCAGTGGCAAAGGAAGGCTTCCACGGAAGTGAGGCAGTCATGGGAACTTCCCAGTTGAGAAGCGCACCCCCAAATGGCAATGTTGGTGGGTGGGTTCTACTTCTTGGTTTCATAACGGATTATATTGGTATCTTGGTGGTTCCCAACCATCCGGTTCCTTAGCTTTTTAGCCCAGTGTTTAGTGGTTGGATTTCCATTTGACCCGCGAAAAGTTAGTCACTTTTTAGCGGGGGATCTGAGGACAGCCCAGGAATCCCTGTGTCATCATCTTGGTGGAAGCAAAAGTAAATGGGTTTCAGCTCAGATGGGGTATCACAGTCTGTGGGGTACACTTCCTCAGACCAACATGGAAGCTCCGACAAGGCCTCTGTAAATGGAACCCAGTCTTCCATTTCGGGTCGTGGTCGCTTCCATGTTAGCCTGGGGAGGGTATCCTTCACCACATGGCGGTTTTGGGGGTCCTGCCGCTGGATTTTGCGACAGTTCTAGGGGACACTTCCCCGTTCTTTCCAGGGATCCGGATCCTTTCCAGCAAACCATCAGAACCCCAGGGGAAACAGCGATCGGTGTTTGAGAAAAGAAGGATGGTTGAAAGAATGGAAAAGGAATCAACCCCTAGAACAACTCACATTTTTTCTCTCCCTTTCCTTTTGAACATGAACTTCTTTTTCCAAACCAACTTGACACTGTTCTCACCACCCCACAGTCAAATGGGTGGGACCCCCTGAAATGGGTTTCCCCTTTTGGAGCCTCTCCAAGCCAAAGTGGGTGTTGGCTGTTTCTCTGCAAGTTCTAGAAAACCTCCGGACACCCAGGGAAAACGGATCCTCATTTTTGCCCAGGGATCCCTTTTTCCGATCCATTTTTTTTCCAGGGTATGGTTGAATCAACTGCAGTCGACCGCGTCAGACTATCAACGTGAGCTGCTACTTGGGCAATCTCCTGGTGGACGGCGAGTCCTGCTCGCCGGAGCCTCATGCACGCCTTGTGCTCCACCCAGACCGCAAACAGGGCCATGGGGAAAACCAGGACACGCGGTTCAAGACGGTTTCTCCACTTTGGTGGTTGAATCTGACTGAGAAGAAGAGAAGTGAAGAAAGATCCCCGGCTGAGAGTGTGGTGGAAACGTGGAAAACTATTGCGCGACATCTGGGGCAACATCTGGGGCAAAATGGACTGCGTGTGGAGTGTTTTGGAGCAACGGCTAGGGCCGGTGCCGCAGGGTGCCGCAAGGCTTCCGGCGGTAGCTGGGCTTAGTTTTGGCTGCAGGACGCCCCCCCCCCCAAAAAAAAGGGGAAGCAACTTGGCCACTTGTTTTTCGGTAGTTGGGTTAAAAGGTCCTTTCCAAAGGAGAAAAGAGAGCACCGGAGGTCCGGTTCCGGTTTCAACCAAAACCAAGAGGCGCTTTACGATCCTCACAAAATGTCATGTCGGGCCCTTCATGGGTAGTTAAAGGCAACCACAGGGAAGCCACCAAATGTGAGGTTGTCTCCTTTTTTTTGGTGTGTGTGTGTGTGTGTGTCTGTGTGTGTTTCTGTTTTTGTTTTTGTTTCGTTTGTTTTCTTTGTTGGGGGGGGCCGTTTTGAGAAACAACCACATGGGCCTTTTTTGGCAGTCACTTTGTTCGTTGGCTTCGTGAGCTCGTGCGAGCTTGTGCCGGACATGGGTCAGGGTCCTGAGACAGGAGATGCCTCGAATGGGAACCGAGGAGTAAGCTTGCTTTTGAGAGATGGGGGTGGCCCCTTGTGGGGCTTTGTCACTGGAGGGAAGAATTCTGTAGGGCAGCTACATGAAACATCGAGAAAGGACGGGCTTTCATGTTGAGGGCAGTACTTTTTGGCCTGACGTCCGGCATGATTTTCCTCTGAAGAGGGGAAATCAAGGTGCGAAGCCTTGTGAGCGGTCAATGAGCCCAAGAACAAGCTCCACACTTGGCTACGTCTCAAAAGAAGCTGGGGACTCCCTTTGTCAAGTGCTTCTTTCATGTTGGTTTCCTTTTGAGACTGTACACCCACCCGAAACCCGCAACATGGGCGTGCCTTCTGCTGAGAAGCCCGCAAAGCCGTCTGGCTTCTAGCGGGGTTTTCCCACGGGAAACCAGTTTTTCGTTGCCCCATGCGGGGGTCGATTCAAATACCTATTTGGGTGTGTCTATGTCTTAGGGTAACCCCCCACACAAAAGCAGAACAACACACGTGTCTTTCCTTTAAAACCACAAAGCCATTTCTCAGCAAGAAAAACTAAAACAAATTCACATCACGGCTGACATAACCCCTTCTCCCGAAAAGAGAAAAGAAAAAGAAACAACACAACATCCGGTGTTCCATTTTAAAACCACAAAAAAACAATGATTTCCTCCAAAACCGACCTTCAGAACCACAAAAACGCATGGTTTCCCCCAAAACCGACCTTCAAAGCCACAAAAACCAACGGTTTCCTCGGTTTCCTCGGTTTCCTCCAACAGAGCCGACAAACCCTACATCAAACCCATGCCCCGTACGGCCAACGAGTCGCTGAGGCCACTCCCCTGCCAGGACGAAGTGCGCGACATCACGGTGGAAGGTGCGGGGGGAGCTTAGCCAAAGGCCAGCTTCGGGTTTCTGAACCCAAAAAATAAGCCTCAAGCCCGGATTAGTGAGTGTTTTGTGTTTGGGGCCCAGAGAGAAATGTGAGGTGCATATATATGGGAGTCGTTCTAAAGGTCCTTGTAAGGAGTTTAGTATTCGGTGACCATCGGCGTTGGTTGAGGTAGCTCCGCGAAAGATTCGCGATGGAGTTGCGAAAGTAACTTTTTTTCTCGCGAAAGTTTTGCGTAACTGTATCTGGTTAATCAATGACATGTGGAACCGTTCATCTTTTCTGCTGAGCCTTCCTTCTATTCTGATTAAAACACTTTGTTGATGTTGCGCTGATTAAGCCTGGTGAGGCTACAGTTTGATACCCTGCTTGGCTGGTTGGTGCTCCAAGCCTGTGTATGTGTGTCTGTGGGTGTTAGTCGGTGGCTTTCCGCTCTGAAAACGTGGGTGATGTTGCGCGAAAGTTCCGCGAAAGATCCGCGAAAGCCCGCGCGAAAGCGCAGGCTTCGATTGCAAGGGGAGGTATAGTCTGAGCGCCGATCTAGTCACTATACTAGCTTGGTACTGGAAAGCTGCGACTTCAAGCTGGAGCTGCACGGCGAACGAAAAGCTGCGACTTTCCAGCCGGCGCATGTCATGTACTACCCCTGTGATGAAAAGTTGCGACTTTACAGCTGGAGTTGGGAAATCGTCATTTCGCTTACAACGCTGGCACTTAAAAGCTGCGATTCTCCGACTCGAGAAATGAAAAGAGCACGGCGATGAATCCGCGAAAGATTCGCGAAAGTAACTTTTTTATTCGCGAAGAATGGCCGTTTCGAGACAAAGGAATTTAGATCAACCACCATATATATATATATACACAATATATACAATATATATATATATATAATGTATATATATATATATACACATAATATGTATATTTTTTTTCTGAGTGTTTTTTTTGTTTTTTTTGCGAGGCCCTGTATTTGACACGCGGGTTTGCCAGAGAGAAATGTGATTCCAAAATCAATGAATGCCCTTAGTGATAAAGTAATCATGGGAGCCGACCACTTTGGCACGACAGAGCTGTTTTGTTCCACAACCATGAATCAGAATGGGCAGAGGACCGATGTCCCAGCGGAATGATGCTCAAACCATGCAGCTCTTATTCACAGTTGCTCAGTGACTCAGTGGCACCGTTGCCATCTCACGAAAGCATAGCCCGAATATGGGTTACCCCTTTTCCATCCGCAGCGAGAGCCCATACCGCATCTTGTCGACCGCTGTCTTCCGCGACCGGCTCGCAGCAGCCCCATGTGCACATATAGCAAAACGCATCCAGCTGAGCACAGAACTCGCCATGTGGTCGACCTTTGGATTCGACACGGCGAAGAGAACCAGCTAATTCGCAGGCATGTGCCAAGTGTGAAAAATGACTTTGCTCAACAAAAACAAATGCCACTTGTCCACTCTCCTTGCAACTGACACCACCCAGCCATTCGAATGGCGGCCTTTGCCTGGAACGGCAAAGGTAAAGGAGCAGCTCGGCGGGCGGTCGCCGATCGCCGATCGCGTCGAGTTTTCGGCTTCGCGATGTGTTTGGGCAATGTCTCCCAAGGCTGATGTAACCCTTTCTCTTCGCAAGCAAATTGAGATGGGAGTGAAACGTATGCAAGCAGCTCGGTTTGGCAATTCCTAGAATGGGAATTCAAGTTTCACAAAATGCTTGGCTTCGCTTGGTTCACTTGCAAAAGGAACAGTGAGGCGACAAACTTAGTGCAAGTCTGGCTTGGGATGCGTGACAATGAAGGGGCTGAACAAACAACGTTGGCTTCCTTTGTGGGTTTTGGTTTCCTTTGAACCAACCATCTAGGGTGCCACCGTCAGGTTCAATGTGAACAGGGCGGGAGGGTACGAAACCATAGTCCTTCCAACTCAATCCCTGCTGAGAACCAGCTACCAGCATTGTTCAAGGCTGGTTTTGCACTACCTGCAGTAAGCTCTTGAGCCATTTTGGGCAATGGGCCAGCTGCGATCGCTTTTTTCCATCCACTTTACCATCCAAAAACCAGCAGTGTGTCTGAAGCAAGCGATCACAACTTGGCGAAATCTAGGTGGGCTTTCCCAGAATTAGCTCCCTTCTCGATTGTTTCGACTTTCTGGTGTCCCCATTGTTTTCCACCACCCAGGCCAAAAAGCAAATAAGATGCTGGAAATGACTCTTGGGTTGATCAAAAGGTCCGTTACATGGGCTGACCATTGGGGGACTCAAAAGATGGTATTTCAGCCAATGGGGGAAGTTACCAATTAAAAAACACCACTTTTCAACCTTTTGGGTAACATGGGCTATATGTCTGTAAAAGATGAAAACTTCCCCAGGGCGCAGGGAGTTTTAAGGGGTAAGGGAAAGTTACCCCCTGGTGGGGCCAGGTGCTGGTAGGAAAAATGTTCGGGGTCTCCCAGGCACCCGCCTTCGCCCGCCCGGTGGCGCCCAGGCGATTTGAATCGAAGGGTTCGGTTCGGAGACCGTTTTGAGCGGCTGGCGCTGCGGGTTAAAGGGAAGCCAAAAAGCAACGCAGGGTGCACTTAGTGACAGACGCAGGTCCAGGTGCACTGCATCCTTTTTTTTTGGGATGCGTTTTGACATCGGAGAGTTTTTTGTTTAAGGAGAGCGTGCACTCATCCTGCCTTCTCTTCTTGGTGGCTCCCAGCCCTCGCTTTTTGGGGCTTTTTTGGCTAGAAGTTCGTCACTTTTCGCAGGGGATCTGGAAACAGACAGCGCACCTGGATCGCCAGTTGCTTTTTCGGTTTTTTCCATGCACTTTGCCATCCAAAAACCAGCAACAGCGACTGAAAAAAGCGGCAACTTGGCTATCTAGGCAGTTTTGGCGTCCATGAGAGTGTCTCGCCCCGTTTTTCGCAGGCCGCAGATCCGGGCGCCGGTGGTGGTGCCGGCCTCCGCGCGCCCGCATGTGGGTGCGCGGCCCGGGCTGGCGCAGCCCACTGCGGGTGGGGCGGTGAACCCGCCCATCCGGGTGAGCGCCAGAGCCGCACAGGGAGAAGCCGTCCGTTTCTTGAGTTGGCTGTGTTCTTTGGGTCCCCATTTGAAGCCACCGAAAAAAAGGAAAAGGGTAGAGTCTTTTTAGTGCCTGTTTCGGTGTTTCTGTGGTCAGGAGGGGGGAGGGTGTGTTTATCTTTGTGTTCCCTTTAAACCCACCGAAAAAGGGGGCAACCTCTCAAAGAAAGACGGTTTCCCCTTCTTGGGTGTGGTGTTTGTTGAGGAACCGCCAAGCAAGGGGGTACTCAAAAGACACAAATTGGTGCTCGTTTCGATGGAAGCCACCGGTTTTGTTTCAACCTT